TTGTAACGGCTTGTAACATAGTGTCGCTTTATGTCTCTATATATTTACAATCGTGTGTATGAAAGGCGGAGGGCAGTCGTGTGGGGGAGGGTTGGGGAGGGGAGGGGGCGCTCGGCAAGCTAACACACATAAACTCGTAGACATGTAGTCAAATCCTATACAGATAGAATCGGGCGCGGCTCTGACGCCGCTGCAGTATAACAACTGTACCAATTTCTAAACGACTACATTGCTTATTGATTTAAATTATGATTATTACATATTATCAATTGTTTTATTCTTTTTTTTATTTTTACATTAACGGCCAACGCCCAGCATGAACTGCACATGTTTATGGCCTCTTTGGTTAGTCCCAAAACGTTTTAATTTTCTTTAATTCTGTTGATTCTGTGTGATTCATATTCTATGTAACCATTTTTCATTGTTTATAAAATCGCGTTCTCATCGATAGACTTTTCAACAAATGTGACTAGGTTAACATTAATATTTTTTATTCTAGAATATAATATAGTGCGTATCGTCGTTTCGTCATTGGTACAAGCTTCCAGCGCTATTTACTTTGACACACAATTCCAACATGCATACCTTATTTTTATTTTAATGTTATCTGTGATAATTATACTTTAAATAACAAATCGAAAATCCGCAGATTGAATCGCTCAATCGTTTATTGACTTTTTTTTATTAAATTTACGTCTTTACAAAAGCCTGATATATTAATAGTGACCATTGAATTAGGATGTTTTGATTCAGTTCCGACGCAGTAAAGAAATGGTGTGCGAATGGTACTATACCGTTACCGATCACATGGATTTAATATACGATATAATTTTTAGGTTAGAAACGGCATTAATTAATTACCAAATTTGTCTCGTTAACATTGACCAACTGTAAAGCCGCGCGCTCGACGCCATATTGATCTCTGAAGGACACGTGTTGTGACAGCGACACAAGATGGCGGCCACTCAGCAAGCCTCGGCTGTTATTAATGTTTAGAGATGCCTTTGTTATTGCAAGCATCGGCGGCCGGCGCGCGCCGGGGACGCGCATACTTATATTAGAAATGTTTTTAAATATTTTTTTACTCATGAATAATATGAAATCTTAAATCGCATATCGCATAAAATGAAATCTTTATTCTGCGTTACAATGTGTATTGTGAATGTTCAATGAGTGTGCGGACGTCGCCCCGCGCGCCGCGCCGCGCTCGGCCAGTGTCTCGTTGGCGAACTTACATACTATTTTATAGCTCATTAAGTGACTGGTTTTTATTTTTAATTTAGTGTTTTTAATTCCTATTGTATAAATCGTGTGACTGTGTGGTGTATATACAAATATATATCTACTTGGCTACACGGATTTTTGTTGTATGATTATGGAAATATTTTGATAAAATTATTTGTCGAGCACTCGGATGCTCGATATGTTCCGTGTTACGTCTTCTTTTATATCTTAGATAACTTTAAAACGCAATAAATTTATCAAAATTAGTATTTTCAAAGCACCATACTAAAACGTCAGCCATTTTGTTTTGATTCGAATTAGTTGTTAAAAGCATGTATGACTAAGTACTTCCATTTTAATAAGATTTTTTCATATGTAGAATGTACGGCAAGTAGACATCCGACGTGGACTCACTTTTGTACTTGTCAATATTCACATTCCATCTCCGGCGCAGGAAAATGTATTGCTTCAGTAACAGACACAATTTTATTTTGTAATAAAACGAGTGTTATGTGAATATTGAACATTGTGGGGGAAATTATATTAACTGCCAAATGCGATACGTGTGTGATGTATGAATGTGTGTATGTGGGTGTGTGTGACGTGTTCCGAGTCCTTTAGTGAACGGATGTTCCGTGAAGGCTGTTCGTGTAAAGTCTGTGCATTAGAAGTATATTTTCGTTGTGTAAGAGATATAATCATGATATAAATACACCAAGATCAATGTACTATTGATGCATCCCTCGCGCCGGACCCGTGTCGGATTCGGGTCGGACACGTCCCGCGACCGACGCGTCTCGTCTAATGTTTAAGTTTTATTTTGCAACAATATAACATGTCTCTATATTCCAAGGGTCCGTTGCGAAGGATTCAAATGAATATTATTATATGAATAAGCGTTTGAATTCTGTGAACCGTCAAACTTAGTCCTGTATATAATTATATCATTTTGCGGTGTTTAACGACTTTTTTATTATAAGAGGAAATGCATTTTAGTTTTATAAGTTGTAGGCAATATAATGAAGTGGTCATTTCTAACAGTCAACTGCGATTGACAGTCGGAATCTCTTAGATACAATGATTTAAAAAAAAATAGGAAAACGATTGGAATAAATATAACTGGTTAAGAAAATAATAAATGATATAAATTAACGTGGATTTTATTCATTTTCCAACCTTTTCCTAAATATAAAGATTTACTGACTTGACTGAGCTGTCAGAGCTGGCAGACGACACTTAAGTTCAGAAACTTTATTGTTATACAATTAGACAGTACTCGTTTGTGCCGTAATCGAATGGTCATTGGTTATCCTGTCTAATTGAGCAGTTACAACCTGAACTTATAAAAAGCACCTAAGAATTTCAACAAACGTCTTGAAGAATATTTTAAGAAAGATTAAATAGTGTCGGGACAACTCCCTTGGGCCGTTTTCGTAGGCAGACGCTTTTAAATTGCCAAAAAAAGTTTAAATGCTTGATTTTTATATATTACTGTGAGGTATTGCAAAGGGTGTGGGTTTCCAACTATAGCACGAGGTAACGCGTAACTGCCCAATTGGACAGGATAACTATTGACCATTCGGTTACAGTACATACCTACTAGTACTACCTGATCGTGTTTCAAGCTTGTGAATGTCTTTTGCCAGCTCAGGAAGCTCAGTTTAATTGCAAGTACTCAAAAATACCAATCTGACATAAAATTATAAACAACCAGTAACAGTTTAACATTTTGTTTTAATTCAAAAATTGGGGGAAAGATTAGAAAATAAAATATTGTATTATTTTACGTACTTTTAATGAGTAATTATAGTAAAATCAGTAGGTTTAAAACTATAAAATAAATTAAGTCTTCGCAGTAAAATAATTTTTCAGTTTGTATTAATATTTCAATTTTTCATCTATGAGATTCGAATGGTTAACCAGGCGCGCTGGACACGTTCAGTTTCAACTGAACCTACAAACTTCAATTAAAACTGAACGTGTGTTCTGTTGTGGCTCACAACGAAATTAACATGAAAACAAGAAAACTATCATTTGAAAAAATATAAGTACTATGCCTAAAAAGTACTTAAATTAACACAAAATAGTTATTCTCAACTTTCAAACTTATTGTAGTACAACTTAAAGAAACAATAACACTATGCGTTGCAATAAACGAGTTTACATACTAAAATAATATTAACTTTAAATTAATTTATAAAATAAACTGGAATGTCTATGTCAAATAAAATTTCAGTCTACAGTTTCAGAATCAATTGTATAAAATTCACCTTAAAATTCTGCCAATTATAAAAACTTGTTTCTATGGAAGTTTTTAAAAAGTTGAAACACAAAACCTAACAATACATTTATACCAGTAACATGCCATTAGTAACAAAAATCATTATACTTAATAAATGGTACTAATTCTTCATTTCTTAAAAAGAAAAACACCATTTTCCATAGTTTAAAAGAAAAACCTAATTCTTTATTTAAAATAGGAATCTGTTGCCTTTACATAGTTTAAGAAACTGTTCTCTCTTCCATTATTTAGGTGAAATATTTGTATTTTATACATATTGAAATAACTCAAAAACTTCTTGGCCGATTTTAAAAATTCTTTCACCATTAAAAAGCTACGTTATCACCGAGTAACTGGAAATGTGACGCGGGCGCAGTCGCGAGCGACAGCTAGTGGAGTATAAAGGCGGTTCACTCAGCGAGCGTGTGGTGCTGCAGCAGCGAGTCGTCGCTGATGAGTATGGTGTGCTCCTCCGCGAAGTCCTGCGGCAAGTCGATCTGCGCGCTCAGCTCCTGCAGGCTCTCTATCAGCTCGTTCAACGATGACTGCGAATTAAACATATTTCAATTGTCGTATTAACCAGTTTTTACAAGTGTATTTTTGTTTCGTTTTCTGTACATGTGATTGGTACGGCCGGCCTATTGAATTAAATTTACGTATATGCTACGTAAGTCCGAAGGAGCTAGCTGAAAATTAGCGCAGGAGTGGCTTAGTCCGTCCAGCATACGCGGAGCTGGCTACCTTTTGCCACTATTTTATGAAATAATTTTTTTGTGGCAATAAATACATTCATTCATTCACTTACGACTGCGTCCGAGCGGTATTTAAAAAAAAATAAAGTGAGTCACAATCATGCACATACATAGACATTCACACACACCCACACACAGAAACTTTTTTAGCCTATCTTTCAGATTATGTTTCTACATCTATACCAAATTTCATAGACATCCGTTATGCCATTCTAGAGATAAGCATAAACATAGATTAAAATGTAGGAATACTAATAAGACAAGGCTATAGGATATGGAATAATTAAATAATTGTGAAATGTTATAAAACTTACGGTTGTTTCGTCGAAGTCTTTCAAAGCATCTTCAGAGACTATCTCCTGACCCTCGATGTCTTGCGCCAGCACCCTGAGGTGCTCCGGCAGCAGGCTGGTGTCCAGCTCACCTGTCGTCTTGTTTCTGATTATTCTGGAAATTAGACATTTTGTGTAAATACATTAGTATAAAAAATATTTTGGGATGGAATTATGGCAATGTGTTTAAAGAATAATAAAAATTATATATCATATGGCTATGTTTTATAAGTTACTAGGTAGATTTTTACATAAACATTGTCATTTTTTTAAAAACCAGAAAAAACATTTAGTAAACATTATGCTATTAACAAATTAAAAGTGGGCGGTCAGTTGGTAGTATGCAAGCTTACTCGAAAATTAAAAAATCTATAGCTTTTTTAACATTCAATTTTTATTTCATAAACATGATCAGTATTGACAAAAGGTAACACAAACTTTTTCTAGTCTTTAAAACCAACCAACCAAACCCCACTGGGCCAGCGTGGTTGACTATGACCTAGTCACCCCTTACTTAGGATAGGCCCTGAGTTCCTCGGTGAGGACTTATAGTGAGCTGGTTACGATTAGAAAATAACCCTATGCAACGATATTTTTACAGAATACAGTTACGTAAAAAATATTCTATTGAAAATTATTTGCCTTTAGTGAAAACGTGTGGTTTGTATTAGTGTGTGTATTGACCTGAGTATCCTGCGGCGCGTGATCTCGGGCCCGGCGAGCACGGAGAGCGCGGCGAGCGCGGTGGCGGCGGGCGGCGCGGGCAGGGCGCGCGCGCGCCGCTCCACGCGCGCCCAGTCCAGGCGCAGCTGCAGCGCGTGCCGCCGCCGCGCGCCCACCACGCAGCGCGCGCCCTCCACCTCGCAGCCCGCCTCGCACCACCGGTACTGCACTGCCACACGACCTCTCTTACACACCTCACACGCATTTCATATTAAACTTTACAAATATAATGTTTATAGGATACGGGTTTCCTACCACGTTTAGATTGTTTTAGCTCCCGATATTTCGAAATACTACATTATAAAAAATATAAAAAAAAAAACAAAATTCTTTATGACATATTCTTGGTAACGCAGTTATCGCTTTTTAGTCTTGTATAAGTAAATATAAGTAAATGTAATAAATATAACTATATTTAAAAAAAATACTATTTATTTTCTTTATCTTTATGCGTCTTTCTTCATATCAATCTTAAAGTTCTTCATATGGTTTTAATTCATAATATTAAATGGTCCTTCGAGCCGGATCAGAAACTTGTTCCGTTGCCTCCGTTTAAAAAAATAACGTATGCACTTGTCTGTATGTTTTCCCACTACGAAATCAAGCTATCTCTTACACACCTAAATATATTTGAAATTAGCTTTCGCCCACGACTTTGCGTGACATTAAAAAATAATAACTGATAATGTAGCTTTTTAACGGTATAATTTTTGAAATAAGCCCAGTAGTTATTAAGCCTATTCATTACAATCAAACAAAGTTTTCCCCCTTTATAATATTATTTTTAATGTGTATACTCACGGCTGAATCTGAGTTGTGCGCAGAGGAAGGCGGGCACGTTGTACTTGTTGTAGAGCGGCAGCTGCAGCGGCTGGCGCGCCGCCGCGCGCACCAGCGCCGTGTCGCCGTACGTCACCAGCCCGCTCCAGCGCACGCCCGCGCCGCCCGCGCCCGCCGCGCCCCCCGCACCCGCACCACCGCACGCTCCGTACAGGTGCACCTTTAAAATCACAACAAACTGGACCAAACTGTCTCACCTTCATAATGTGGTTTAAGGCATTTACTTTCTCTTAAGAATATACAATTCACTTGATGAGAAACATTTTTTTTAGCATTTACATTTTTCATCAGTAGTCTATTCGCTTTGAATCTGAGCAATAATATCGTGAATGGAATGACCAAAATAAAAAAAGGCAAGATCATCTGTATGTAATAATGATGTAATCATCCTTATCAGCTCACAACACTGATTTGGGGTTGGAAGGTTGGAGCCTATTCTAACAAGAGATGTCTAGGCCATAGTCAACTAGGTTGGGCCAGTGCGGGCTGGTTGACTTTACACATATCTTTGAATTTCTTTGGTCATATAGGCAAGCATCGCGATGTTTTCCATCACCGTAAGAATATTGGGTAAATTACAAATACAAATAATTATAACAATTATACATATAAAAATCAAAAATGACATTACAACATGACGGGAGCCCGTATATAATAACTCAAGTACTTAACCACAGAGTCTCCGACGCTATGATGTAATCACAGACATGTTTAAAGCATCAATTTAAATACCCATGAATCCATGACATGAGTCAATAACATTGTCTGCGATGGGTATACGTTTACCATAACACAATCTTTGCAACAAAGCAAAAATTTGTATATAAAAACTTACCTTTCTAGAGAAATCGCTACTTTTGTCGTAAACGAGATGCAGTGCGGCGGCGTGCGGCGCGGGCGAGGCGGGCGCGAACAGCACGGCCAGCGCGCGGCTCTCGCCGGGCCCGAAGCTGAGGCAGTAGGTGCGGCTCTCGGCGCGCGGCACCTCCAGCGTGAACCCCTCGCCTACTATATGACAGCGGATTTGGATCTTCTTGTTTGTCGAATTCCTCAGACTGAGCTCCTTTCTTCCGCTGCGCACCCACGACATGCTGCGGTAAGTCGTCTTTATAGGAAATACTTTAGGCTTATCCGAACCACCGGTTAAGTCGATATTCGTTTTAATACCAGTGTAGGCATCCTCGAAATATAATGTTCTGGAAAGGAAATAAAATTGTTATTATTTATGTAGAAGGTAACACATTCTTAGCTGGTGGAATTATTACTCTTCCTGAGCTACAGAAATAGCTATGTGTGCATTCAATGTGTTAATAGAACCTTATTTTTAACATAAAATTTCTTTTTTTAAGTAAATCAAGAAAAACCTCTATCTATACTAATACTATAAAGAGGAAAGATTTGTATTTTTGTATATATTGAAATAACTCAAAAATTCAACCAATTTGAAAAATTCATTCACTATAAAAACACTATGTCATTAGTGTGTAAAATAGGCTAAACATTTCGATTATTTTTTAATTTCAGGAGAGTGAAGTCGTTAGCAACAGCTAGTCTAAAAAAAATCGTATTTTAAATTCTAATTAATACTAGCTAACATTCTAATTGAAAAAATAATATATTAAAAGTTATTGTAATATATTTTCTACAATTTTCACTTACCCTTCAAAAAACTCATCTTGTGATCCTTTGTATGTGATAGTTAATTCCTTTTCAGCTCCCGGTCTTAATTCAATTCTTTGTAATGACGCTTGGAATGGTACATTATAGTCGTTGAGAGTTTTATGTTTAATTCTGATAAACCATGTCCCAGCCATGTTTCCAGAATTTCTTAACATTATAGTTTTAGGTTCTGAAAAGGGAAAAATATAATATTAATGTTTTGCAGTGTCAACTTCTCAAAGAATTAAATTTAATCATTATATTATAACATCATAGTTCTCAAACAGAATAAAATTAATTTCAATAACATTCCTAATTACGTATTATTGTAAATCATCGAACGATTTTTTAGATTCGCCTTATTATTTGTAACACATATTATTTTACATGTAATAATTACCATTAGATAAATGTAGTTTATGAGGCGGTATGTCTACTTGCAACTTAGCATAGCCCACATCTCCATACAACTCCACTTTATTCAATACAGATTTGATTCCAATTAAATTTATATTCAATGCACCTTTGAATTTAGTCAAACTGTCATCTGAAATATACAAAGAAAACATTACATAAGGACACATTTTAACTGATCAAAAATTCATTTTAAGACAAGCTTTTGTCCACGATTTCGTTGGCGCAGAATTAAAAATACTTAGTAAATAGCATATGTGTTCTATCCGACTAAGTCCTTCGTCTGTGCTGAATTACATTGAGGTCCATTAACCCGTTTTGGTGATATGCAGTAAAACACACCCATACAAATTGACGCATTTTTAATATTAGTACGATTAGAATACTTACTGCGATCCAAATCTGTGACTCTAGGAGCAGTAAACACAACAGAGACTTTAATTGCATTACCACTTGTAAGTCGACACAATTGTTTATTTAAATTCTTTCCCTTCGCCTTTCCTTTATCCTCTTCATTGTCACGCTCCATTAAAACTTTGTTAACATCGCTTTTACGAATTTCTTGTACATTCTTTATTGTAAAAACATCATTATTTTCAATAATCGACAAATCTAATTGCAAATCAACGGGACAATCGCTTATAATTACAAAATATTTGATTGTATTACAGTTTTCTTGTACTGTTGGGAAAACAACTTTGTTTATACCATCAAAAGAAATTGCTTGTATTGTCGGCATTTTGAAATCTACATTCAATTTTCCCATTTGTTCTATATCTGAATCAACAGATGAATCTCTCAGATATACTTTGAATGGTAAAGTTGTGTTCATTTCCATATTAGAGGTTATATATAATTTGATTGTTTCGGTCTTTCCTGGTGACAGCAACAATGGCTGCCGAGGCAATTCTATGGTCAAATCTTTGCCATCGTTTGGTAAATCGATAAAATGTAATTTTGCTGTCAACCAACTGTCTGATAGTGTGGTAATAGTTATTGTGGTGTCACAGCAAGTCCCTGAAAAACAGTTTATGTAGTTATAGTATATCAACTACTGAAAACCTCGTAAACAATGTTTTTTCTCTTTCAACCCCTTTGAAATTTTCTATGTCTTCATGCTGGAGTTTCGTTATTAAACAATTCTTGTGAAATTGAGTTTACTTCCTTAAAATTGAGTGTACATATCTAAAAACTTACCCACATAACCTTTCACACCTGTAGCTCTAATCTCTGTCCATTGATCTGAAACAATTTAAAACAAAAATATTGTAATAAATTTGTAAAATCATACATTAAATTTTATTACACAATTTTTAGAATGCATGCACATCTTTGACTAAACTATCGCAGGACTGTTTAGTCTCGCTTTGATTCCTATGAGCTTATATGGAGGTACACTACTCGATTTTTAGTTGTGTAACTAAACAGTTGAATGCTGCGAAACAATCGACAATCGCACCTTAGTTGTGCGACAATTTAATCAAAGATGTACACTCGCTCATAACAATTATTAAATTGTTAGGACTTTTATAATGATTAGTATGAATAAGTATTAACTAAACTACAACTTTCCAAAGCAATAGACAATAAATGACATTACTAACTAGATTGTGTTAATAATTAATTCGACTATTAAAATAGTAGATTAGTAGCGGTTACAAAGCGTGTCCCACAAACCTTCAGGCAAGCGGTGCCGTGTCTTGTGGCGCAGCACCTCGCGCCAGTCCACTGAACTATCTAACTCTGTGTACTGAACATTGGGCGAAGCTACGTGAGACAAATTTACATCGCCTGAAAATATTTACTACATTAACAACACGAGAACCGAATGTATGTTGAAACATTTTATTTTTTTAAATCTGTTTTAATACAAGCTTTCCCCCGCGACTCCGTCTGCTTGGAATTTTAAAAAAAAGGTATGCCTATGTGTTCTTCCAGACTATCTACAACAAAATTCATCAAAATCCATTCAGTCCTTTAGTCTCCAAACTCTTTCAAACATCCATCTACAAACTTTCGCATTTATTACATTAATACGTAGTCTATTACAGAGAAAGGATTTGTAATTCAGGATTTTTGTATGTATTGAAATAACTCAAAAACTACTGGGCTTTCAAATTCTAGCACTATTAAAAGCTATGTTATCAGTGAGTAACATAAGACATGTTTTATTATTTCTTTCCGAGCGGACGAAGTCGCGAACAAAGGCTAGTGTGCAATATATATTTTTTTAGATTTTAGATGTATCCATGGTAGTTGTAAATGTAGAATTTTAAAATTTCATGGTAATGACTTTAGAATTCCATACCATTCGGTTATCGTAATTATTTGATATCTGCAGATACAAAGAAATGGGAAACCACAAAATACCGAAGTTGAAATAAAAGTAGAAAACTAAATAAAAAGAGTCAACTCTACAAAAATTGTACAAAAATCATATTTTTTACCTTTACTTCTTTGTAGAGGACTATCATTAGATTTGAAACTGTTGTGATTTTCTTGCACAGTGCTTAAAGTAGATGGACTTTTGCTTGACGGGGATTTAGATCTTGAAATTCTTTTCCTACTTTCAGTGTCACTGCATTCTGTTTTGTTCAACGAAGGAGTAATCACAACTGTGGGTACAGTTTTCTTCTCTCTGATCTTCAATGATTCAAGAGAGGTAACTAGGCTCATTTTACCAGAACTAGACATTTCTGGACCCTTGTGTTCCATGCTTTTTATATGTTCCATACCCTTTATGTGTTCCACACCCTTCATGTGAGTCATATCCTTCATGTTTTCCATATCCTTCATGTGTTCCATACCCTTCATGTGTGTCATATCCTTCATGTGTGTCATATCCTTCATGTGTTCCGTACCCTTCATGTGTGTCATATCCTTCATGTGTGTCATATCCTTCATGTGTTCCATACCCTTCATATGTGTCATATTCTTCATGTGTGTCATATCTTTCATGAGTTCCATACCCTTCATTTGTTCCATTCCCTTCATGTGAGCCATAGACTTTGCATGTTCCATACTCTTTAAATTAGTGGTAGACATTCTGTCTTTAGCTCTCATATTATTCTGAGCATTCATATGCAACTCTGATAATGGCTCCTTTTTCAAAGCATGTTTTTGATTAGTTAGTTGCAGCATACCGGTTATGCTTACATTTGATTGTTTTCCTGAAAAAGAAATGTTGCCAATGATAAGAAAGTAAGATAAATAATAAAAGAATAACTATAATGAATTATGGTGTTCTTAGAATCCGGAAAAACCCTACCAAACTTGTTATTTATTAAACATTCAGATACAAATTATTTAAAATTGTCTAGAAATAAAGAAATCGAATACAAACCTAGGTAGTCCGCAATTTTAGAAATACTCAGAGAATTTTCATTATCATTATCAACTGAAACACCAGATTCTTCAGTAGGCATTTGAAATGGGGAGGATTTTTTCAAAAACTGTTCAACATTGAGAGATTGCAGAAGTCTTTTCTGTAGCAAATTCTGTTTAATGTTAGATTCTTCTTGATCATATTTACTCATTGGTACTTTGAACAATTCATTATTAACTGGAGGGATATCTGTACTGCAACTGCTGTCAGATATTTCCGGTACTGTGAAGTTCCGAGCCATACTGAATTTGGATTCATTTTTAACATCATTGTTAGCGGCTCGCTGCCTCACTGGTACACAATCCAAAGATTGATCCACAACATATGTTTTCTTACTTTCATTGCTAATTGAATTCAATGGAGTCGACAGGGAAACTGAAAATTACAATATTTAAGTTTATATAACACTATCTTTATTATTATGCTAGCTGCGATGGTAACTCCATCCATCGAGATTAAAAACAAATTCATTGTAGCAAATGTTCTAAATATGTGACAAATTTAATAAAGGTCTGTTAGGCCATTTGGAGGTATATAGTAGCAATCATCCATATTAACTTCAGAAGGATTTAAAGTTGTAATAAGGTAAAAAAAAATCCTTAAAAAAGTAAAATATAGTTATTCAATTTATTAATGTTAAAAATTTGCTTACCTTCACTAATACTAGGTCTCACAGACCTGATTGGACTATCAGTCATTTGGAATATATTTTTAAATTCAGGACATCTGTCTTGGAAATAACCTCCGACAGACATGTTTGTAGTGGTGTCCCTGAAAATATATTATTAATCTAAAAATTATGACTCCACATACTTATTGTGAGTTTCTCATATCATCTAGTGTGTATTTGGAAAGGGAAAGAATGTATAGGAATAGAAAATATTATTTCAGTCCATTAAAGGTAGACAACTACAACACTTAAAATATTGCAGTTGTCTATGGCTATGAACTTTTTTATTTCAGCACTTTCATTGGTGGTTTGCTTTCTATTATTCCAAAAATCTTACGGTAAGTTGTCTGCTGTGATGTTAACTTGGGTGCTTTGCTGTACTGGCAGTGGAGCATGGTTCAAGACAAATGACGCTTCTTCTGCTGTCATGTCCTTCTGTAACATACAATAGAAACATACAAAATATAATAAAGACAAACATCACAATCAGAAGTTTTGCCAAAAAGCCTGAAAAACGAATTAAATCACATTACTAACATTATTTGTTTAATGGCACGAAGGACAAGGTACATATCAGACATTTAATAAGTCATGAATAAAATCGTAATTTCTTTGTATGACAAATATGGATTGTTTAAGTCTAACATTTGTGAAACAGTATAAAAAATGCTAAATGGAAAAATTTGTAAATGGTATTATAAAATTAAAAAAAATTAAAAGACGGCTATTCAAAGCTTCAAGAATTAAACTGTTTCCTTACCTTTGAATGAAAAGAATAATTACTTGCAATAGAATGTCTCATAATATCATTAACTTCCATTGTCTGCTTCTCTAAGTTACTGGCGAGACTTTCTAAAGCAAATGAATGTCGTCCATATTCATCATAGGCATCTAGAGGTTTTCTGCCTGGTTCCTTGCGTTCAGTATGAGCCTTGACTTCTTCAGTACCAGTTGATCTACCAGTCATCTCACCAGGATTAAATGCAGTCTGATGAGACAAATAATAATTTTGAAAGCAGTATTATTGTTAAGCATTTAAAAACAAGGGACTCTGTGTAATACAAATAATCTGAGAGTTATAAATGGGTTGTATTAATATTTTTCATTTAATATTACTGGCAACCTCCTCCTTTTTTGGATTAAAGAGAAACATCACTTTTTAGATTTTGGACAGAATTTAGTGTTTTAAATAAAATTAAAAACTTACGGATTTATTGAATGACATAATACTTAAGCCCCCTTCACCGAAACCTGAAAAAAAATTGAGTACAAAATAAAAACACTTACCTGCAGAACTTGCTTGATTTTTTATTTAATAGAATTATATGCACATTCTGTAACTATAAAAGGTGAACAGAATACCAATACAAGTACCGAAGAGCTCTGTTTTATTTTTTACTTTGATATATGATTTAAAGTAAAAGCTTTACTTACCCTCCACTTTGTCTAGGTCCAATATTCCGGATGACGATTCCAAATGCATACTGGATTTATTTGTCGTCCTTTCCTGATTATCCATGCTAAAAAAACAAACCATCTTATGAAATTTTAAAGTACGTTTGTGGAATTTTAAAAATTTAGATATGTAAAAAACAAACCGTTTCTCTTCCTCTTCTTGTGCCAATCGCTTTTTGAGACTAAAAGATTTGTCTTCCGCATAATGCAACAATCGTAGTATTTTATTTGGAGTAAGCGGATTATCCATTATAAATAATTTTCAATCAAAATAACATTTATAAAAGGGCCGATTAATAAATTTGACGAATAATTAAAAAACCGTATCCCGATTTCCGTTGAAAATTTGATTTTGTTTCTTTTGTCAGTTTGTCACAGACTCTCAGCACAGTGCACAGATCAAAGACTATATCACATATCACAGATTATAATAGAAAACCAGTGTAGGATGAAAAATGTTAGATTTTTTTTTTTGGGATTCACACTAATAAAAATGCCCTTAAAATAAATGTTTAAAAAACAAAAATACAAATATGCCTTTGTTGTAGTTGGAATATATCTGGGGCACCGGAGTACACAAACCGCGCCGCAACTACCATACCGGAACAATTTCTGGTGTTGATTCCAGGGAGTCAAACATGTCATATTGCAAAAGTTTTTTTAAATAAATTAAAGACACAAACCGTTTTATCTTTTTTACTATGAACTGGGCATACAACACTAACTGATCAACTGGAAATAAGTCAAGCCAATTCACCAAGATAAATAATTTATTTTTCTTTAATCACAAATTAACATTATTTAAGCCTAACATATTAATATTATTATATGTTTGATTTAACAATGGCAGTGTAATACTCTGATGTCTGACTTTTCAATGCTTGGTAAATACAATTAGCAGGCCTAAGTACAGAAGATATTCAATTATTTAAAATCTAGTTATAAAGTTCAAACTAAGTTAAACAATTAACACTGTTTATTATACACATCAAGATGTATAATTAAATCTTATTATCTTAATTATAACTAAATTAAAATTAAATTACATGATCTGTTTTTCCCTCAACTTGTATTTGGTCCAGTTAGTGGCAATAGATTAATTTCTTTGTTAAGTCTTATTTGTTCATTAATAGCTCTCCAAGCATCTTCTTTTTCCTTTTTAGTGATAGGACGCTTCTTCTGTTTAGCAGCAACCAATTTCTTGTATGTTTCTATGCATTCTAAATCAACTTGATCAAGTTGCTTCTTTAAGTTCAATCTGATCATTTCTTGCTTGCAAAGACCAATCAGGTTTTTTAAATTCTTACAGTTATCTTTTCTTATAGCTGTCAGTTCTGTTTGACACTTCTTTATCTCTGCTAAAATTTCATCATCTGCCGGATTGGTTAAAGGAGGCAAATCTTCTGGATCCAGTATGCCTTGGTCTACTAGCTCTTTGCGGAGGCATTTTTCTAGAGTAAGTGAATTTTTATAACTGCTTTTAATATTTGATTGTTGCTTAACTTTTATGTCAGGCACATCATATGCATTTTCTTCCATTAAAGCAGATACTAATCTCTGTGTTAATGGGCCAGTGATCATATTCTCTCCTGATTTCTCAATTTTCTTTCTTAGGCTTGTTGCTTCTGGTGACATTCCAGGAGGCCTTAATTTATTTGGGTTACCAGCATTTTGATCTTCTGTTATGTGTTCATCAGCCCAGACTTCTGAATAATGTCTTCCTAGTGGTGGGATAGGTGGTAATGTAGTGTTACTACTCTGTGCAAGTAGCGATTCCAAAAATTTTATGTCATCTAAGGTAACTGGTGCACAATATGGTTCAACTGAATTCCAAAATTTGTAAGGAATATTATTCTTTGGTAATGAGAACTGTGATAGTTCAAGCTTCATTGAATTATCAGAGTTGGCATTGGCATCATTTGAATAGTTGTGGGATCCTCCAGAGGAAGCATTAGAGAAATTTTTAAATTTAGGTACTTTAGGTTGATTTGAAAGTTTTGTATAGTCTTTGGTTTTAACTAATTTATCATCTTGGAATTTTCTTTTCACAGGATACTGGAGCTGTTTACCTGCAGCCTTCCCTTTTTTCTCCCGTTTAGATTCATTTGTATCAATACTTTCAATTTCCCCTTGGAAATATCTTATTCGTAATGCTGTGCTACATAATAATGATTCTAGTTCTAACTGCAAAGCATCCAGTTCATCTATACCAATAGGTTCATCAGCAGGTCTGACAGAAATTGCAGATAATCGGGGTAAAGTCGTTGCATTGTCTTGAAGTCTGATGTAAGGAATAGGGCAAGTTTCCACTTTAGTTTTACCTACCGAAACTGCTCCAGGTATTTTTGAAGGTTTATTATATGGAGAAACACCGGGACTAGAAGGCTTACTGTTATCATGACCTTTGCTTGCTAAGCGTCCCTTGCTGTTATGGTGCATTCTTTTTCCCAACATTTTCAGTAGCTCAAATCAAATTTGACCGCGAAAATAGTAAAGTAACTACACACAGGCGTCAAAAGTTTTGATTTTATCGAATGTTGTAGAGCAGACCACTTTATTTTAACTCGGTTTAATAGATATCACTTTTCCATGTACTGTATTTAATTAGTAATAAAAAAATGTATGTGTAAACGTTGTGATTAATCACCAGCAAATAAATAAAACAATTTGCCACGACAAAATGGCGCATTAAAAATAAATAATGTTTTTTTCATTGACGTTTGTAACAAGACTGTTTTATATTCAGCCAAGTGTGGTCGTCAAGTTTTTATACAGGTAATGTCTATGCTTCTAAAATATATTGATTTATTTTTGCTTTTACCCTTATTCAACATATTACAAACCAAAAACATTGAACTAAATTACAATTTGAAATCATTTGTTTTAAATGAATTCAGTAGGCTTAACAATCTAAGTTTAAATTTTAATATTTTAACAAAAATAAAACTGATCATTATCAATTTAAATATTACGTAGGTACTTAAAACATTATCTTGGCACTACCAATTAATAAAAGTAATAATTAAAATTAAAAACTTAGGCCAGAAGGAGCCATAATAAATATATTTCAAGTGCAGTATATTTTCTGTCGTAAATTGGAAGTTCCAAATATTACCTATATTTTTTGTCTATGGTCATTGCACAGATTTTATTAATGTGGTTGGTGGTCCTAAATTGTGAAGTTCTTCAAAAATGGATTTGTGTTGAGAATTTAGATACAAACTGAACATAGCACTTGGTAACGATGCAATGAAATTGTTGTGTTTACAAAATAACACCTCAAGTCACCCAACCTAGAAGTTGTTATCGCTGCATATATCAATGCTTGCTGCTGTTACTAAACTATTACAATGGGAGACGTAATAATACATTGTCCTTTATGTTGCAACCATACCTTTAATTCAAAGCACCATTTAATTGAACATCTCACAAATGTTTTATCGAATGTAATTTGTCCAATTTGCGATGATAAATTGGAGACGTTAGATCACCTCAAAGAACATTTGACTCTTGACGAATGTCAAGAAGTAAACTTACAAGGGAATTCTTGTGAAAAAGATGTTATTTGTTACAAACACGAAGACGGTGTAGAAGATGGTCAAGGTAATATAACATGTAAATGATTTTTGTAGGAGAGTAAATAATTTAATTCCCGCTTATTGTAATAAACAGAGTTATGTACACATCAATTTCTTTACAGATAATATAGAAGAAATAGATACAGTAAATGAATTATCTCATAATGGAAATGTTGACAAAAATGAGAATTCAGTTTATGTAGAGCTGTTAGATGAAATAAAGCAAACTTCGCATGGACAAGAACTAAGACTCATTAAGGATAGTAGTGATAGATACATGATAGTGGCAGATGATGTTTCATTGTTAAACACTAGCAGTACTGTTGTTAAACAAAATAATGATGGTACAATATCTATGACCGTTGAAGGTAAATTTTCTAAAGTTAATAATCTCGTGTTTTAGAACACAGTTGCTTACAATAAATTCAAAAAGGCTAATAATCTTTACCAGAAACAACAAGCCTAAAAATACACTAATTGAAATCTAGCCATCCATCTCCCAAATATATATCCCATATCTATTGGTAATCTTATCATAAGTATTCTTAACGGTCTTCTTTTATTAGGTCTCTCCCAGTTGATTTAGCTCTCTTTAATAAGATTTGATTGTTGTGTAGGCATAGACCATCTATACTATCTATACTTATACTTATTACTTATCTTATACCTTATCTTATTCTTATATTATATAAAGCATAAACACACAATTCTTTGTTGCCTAAGATGTCAGCAATTATAGCACATTTTTGAGTAATTTTTATTTTAATAAAAAGCCCTACACTTATGTCACGCTTTGGGCTATATATTTTCACGCCATTAAACTTAAGGGTAAATATTTTGGATAAAAACCCTAATGTGGGAAGGAGACCATAAGTTGCTGCCAACATCAAGAAAGCAAGGTCACCATGGTGTGTCATAATGTCATGTCACTCAATGCAATTAATAATTTGACACATGTAAACAAGACAATAAAATTTTTATAATTTCATGTGAATGAAGTTGCACGGGAACAACTAGTTTCAAATATCTTGGCAGCTTAATGTCATCTGTACATTTAGTATAGATATTGCCCCCCCTGCACTTCTTTGTACCATTGTGTATCCTTTTATGCTTTTATAAGCTGTCAAGATATTTGGACCATACACAGATGCCTATAATCAGCAATGAACCTGTCTATTTTGATAATTGAATTGTTTAAATTGTTTAATAACATAAGTTGGAGGCAAGGTAGTTTAGTTTTTAAGTGAATTGTTTTAAATTTATTTTTTAGAACCAAAGATGGAGACAGTGGTTGAGAATGAAACAGAAATTGTTGATGATGGGTCTCAGCAACATAATACTGGGTTGTATTCATGTAATACATGTGGAGTGTCTTTCACTTCAGTTCTGGAACATATACAAACATATCATAATGACCAGGAAGTGGTTGTTGAGGTATTATGAGTAATAATAACACTTACAGTTTAACAAAGATCTGTTTATTTTTTAACAACATTTTTTATTAATGCACAGAATATATATGGCCATTTGTTTAAACTTTCATTAGACAATATTTTAAACTAACTAGTGTTTGCCTTTTTAACTTTATCCTTGCAGAAAAGAAAAAATAGTAGATAGTCCATTTATTCTTCCAGATTATGTTTTACATCTGTGTTAAATTTCAGTGAGATCAAATAACCTGTTTTGGAGATACATAGTAACAAGCGTCTATACATTTTTGCCGAGTCTATAACACTAATTAAGTAAATATTAAAAAGAAGTAATAACATACATCAGTTATTCTTTATTTATAGGAACAAGTGGATAACAATGTAGTAGAGTATGATAACACAGATGAGAATGTTAATGAAAATATGACTGAAAATATAGACGAGAACTTGTGCAATATTGACAAGCAAGCGTCGCGACGTATGATTACAGACGCTGGACTTATCATTGAAACACCTTCAGAGTCTCCCGCCACTAGTGATGTTCGGAAGAAAAAGATTGGTAAGTTAATAAAATTGTATGATGCCTAGTAAGCGCTGACCCTAGGTGAGTAGGATTAGGTAGGAAAGATGATGATGCCTAGATAGACAATTCTTTTTGTGTTATAGATTATTAATTGTATTGTTATGTTTGTTGCGATTTCTCAGTGATTTTCAAACAAGGATAGGTAGGGAAGTAGACGGAGTTGAAAGGGGAAATATCGTAATTGAACTGTGACGTTAGAGGTAGGCAATGCATCTGCAAATGCAGATGTCTATGGCTACTTGCTGTTTTGGTGAATTCCAATGACTTATAATAAAAAAAACGTATGTAGCATTTATTTACTTTACAGATAAAAATGTGCCTTACCACAGAGTTGTGATAAAAGAAATGGAGACAGCTATAGGCAACAAAATCAAATTTTACAAATGCACATTGTGCAATGTTCATGTCTCAGTATTATCTGAGTTCAAAAATCGTCCTTGTAAAGCTTGTAAGTATGGTTTAATCATTTGTATAGAATAAAAACTGAAACAAAATAATGGCCAACATATTTATGGCATTTTATAGTCTGTTTACAAAATCGAAATGTACTTTTCCTAGGGTAAATGTACTTCCAATTGCATTATAAAATATTGGCTTTGAATTAATATATACAAGACCAAAAGAAGTCAATTTCTTTTCATCACAAGTAATCATGAATAATAAATATTATGAAAATAAAGTAAAAAATATTTTAACACATTATTTTGTTATAAAGCCTAAATGCAATAATGAAATATAACATAACAGAACATGTCTTCATTTACAATGCAGTAAAATACATAATAATGTAGCTGATAACCTCAAAACGAATTATAATTTTGTCCAATTCTCAGTATAATCCTCTTAGAGAATAATATTCTTTTTTTAATTTCAGTAAGATTCCCCTGCATGCTCTGTCCAGTGGCTTACGATAACCAGAAATCGCTCAGTGCACATATGAAAGTGCATAAAACAAAGCCAGGTATATTATTTTTTCTTATTTTTATTCTGTTCATAAATCCACAAGTCTGAAGGTCTTCTAACTGTTATTGATAAATTAATACATAAAAGTGGTATATACAGTGTCCATAAATATACAATTTTTTGTGTAAAAAAAAAACCAAAATACTTCTGTCTCTTCTCTGGGATTTATCTTGGTCTACAATTCTTGAATGTTGAAGAAATAAACTGCTTGCTCATTTGCTTTCTTTGATAAAATAATTTTCTAAGTGTTGTGATGCAATAGGTGTCTTTATGGTAGTGATATATCATAAATTTATATAATAATCTAGAAGTTACGGTAAATTGATTTTTAGTTATCAATATTTACTTCGCTATCGATTTCAAATTCTTAAAGTGAAAAAAATATATTATGTCTTATAAAACTATTTTTATTATTGCTTTTGAAGTTAATTAGAAAAGTTTATTTGATGTTATATTTATTTTTATTTCAGTGAGATATCCTTGTAAGATCTGTCCGGTGGCTTACGATAATCTAAAGTCCCTCACAGCACATATGAAAGTGCATAAAGCAAGACTAGGTAGATAACATTATTTTTATGCTTATGAAATAAATATTAACAGATAATTTAAAGAATTTAAATTATTATTTCAATGATTCCCATTGGTTAAGATACTTTTTTATAGATTTTTTTTTACTAGTTCCATTACTAAAATATATTTAATTATGTATCTAAAGAGGGGAATATTAGCGTTTAAAAATTAATTCCTTTTATAGTTAGTTTTTTAATGGCAACATTATTTAGATAAAGTGCACACTGATTGTGCTATATTTTTCTGTTCCTGTTTAGGAAGTTCGACTGATTGGCACAGGGATGAAATGATAGTAAGAAAGAAGACCAAAACTCCGATAACTTCGGAGTTTCCCGTCTAATAGTAAAATGGAGTTTAAACCGTCAGCCGCCATTTTGACGTTTCACTGCCACTTTAATTTACATGAAAAATATGAAGAGCGGTACTAGATATCGTTAACGTTAAATATTTGTATTGAAAATCGTGAGATTATTTTATATTGCTACCAGGAGGAATCATCACGATACTTCGTTTGTACAGAAATTTAGAATTAATTTTCAATTAGTTGTTATTTTAATGTATGGAAATAAATGAGCATAACAGTATTGTTTCCTCTATTCATCTATCCCTTTCCCGCTTGGAATTATTCCACGTAATGAACCACAGACCCGGGAAGTGCAGAAATATTTTGATTGCAAATAAATTTGAGCCTTATGCCATTATCACAAGGTTGAATTTCACTTTTATTCTTTCTCTTGGTAAATACGTGCAAAATCAAACCTTATTTCCATCTATTGAAGCTCAATTTTCTGTCTGACGGAGCTAAGTCCATTACCAGACATAAACAGGGGAAGGTTTTCTGGGTCTAGTGTATTAGTACTACTACTATGGAGACTGATAGACAAGAAAATGAGTCTAAACAATATTCAATAACTAACAGAGAAATGCATTAATATAGTAAATTGCTGTTTTGTTGAGACATTCTTAATAATATTGGGCAAATACAAATTCTACAAATACTTTTATTAAGCAAAACATGCATTTTTAGGATAGTTTAAGAGGATAGCTTAAGATGTTTCTTTTGTAATACTACGATAGATTAAATAAGCTATACGAATGGTGTAATTTATTTTCAGGTGAACTAGACTTAGTAGACACTCCAACAACGTTTGTATGCAACGTTTGCTCGACAGTATTCCCCACAAGAAAATCATTAAAGCTACACAAACGAATGCACGATCCTGTTAAGTAAGTAAACTTTATAGTTTACTTCTTACTAATATTATTGATGCGAAAGTATAGATGGATGTTTGTAGCCTAAACTGATCAACGTATCTTAATGAAATTTGGCATAGATGTAGAAAATAATCTGGAAGAACATACGCTACATTTTTTAAGTTCCACGCGGACAGAGTCGCGGGCGAAAGTTTGTATAATATAAATAGAAAAATTCAGATAACTAAAATTTTTTAAATAAACTATACAGCAGAATATTTGTTTATTGAATTACAAATTCATTTTTACAATTGGCCTCATATGGTAGAACTAGTTTTTTTTTTATCATAGATAATAGAAATCAGTGTTGCCAGAAGACAAAGACAATATTCTCATGTTCAATGTCTAAACACATTTTTTTCCGGAAGAGTAGTGAATAAAGAAAAATACTTGACCAATATAAAAAATGCCATTAGAAAGCTATAAAAGAGACGACAATAATGTTTGTTTACAAGTTTGTGAAGTAAAAACCTATACTTAATATTTCTTGAATGTATAGGTCTCGTCCAATAGAACCTCCAGTACAGACACTGGAAGGTAACACGGGCAGTGAGGAGAAGTATGTTTGTTCAGTTTGTTTCAAACTGATCCCCGAGGACTACCGCGAGATACACGAGAATTCGCATCTCAGCCCCAGTACCAAAGTCAACTGCGATATATGTAACAAGAAGTTCCAATCAATGCAGGATCTGAAGATGCATATGAATGTACATAATATTGATAAGGTAACAAAAATCGGAATTAACAGACTTATTAATAAGCGGAAATCGACTATATGATGAAAGTTTTCGTTTTAAACATGCTTTATAAGAAAAACTGTGAAATTGGAAGATGTTTGATTTAAAAAAAAATGGAAACAAAACACAGCTATTCCGCATTAAGAATTACGTAGATCGAATCATAAATCGTATTGTTATCGATTTACATACATAAAATATCGATCTATTTGTAAATCTCCTTTTTTAAAGGCGATTTAAAAAGCGAAACCAAAATCGATTCCACTTTCCTGTTTTTAAATTATTTAGTAAATATTTCTAACTATTTGTTTCATGTGTAATCTTTTTTCTCAGGTTTTTTCTGGCAAAGAAGATAAATCATTACCTTACAAATGTTTATATTGCAATAGAAAGTTTGCTAGACCACATGAGAAAGTGAAACACGAAAGGATACATACGGGTATGTATTATTATAAACAATATCACATCTCATAGAAGATATAGTAAATCTATGTAATGTAACTAAAAAGTTTGTACACGTTAATCTCTAGTACTAGTAATTTGATTTGAAAAATTCTTTCTGAATATGATTACTTGACTATCCGAGAAGGTTATAGACTATTTGATATCAGACAGACAGATAATGGTAGAGCAGAAATTAAAAATAAAGTTACGCTTACATATTATTCAAAACTATTTGATAGCTAACTTCGCAAGGGTTCGTTTCATACAATTTTAAATATCGGAGAGATATATGCAGGGGTTTTCTTTTAACCACATTGATCCAAACTAGCAGTCCTCTGCATTAAATTAACTTTTAAATGCAATGCAATATAAAACGCCAATAGCCCAATAACTTGGAGTACGGGCTACTGATCTATCGATCGTGAGTTCGAATCCCGGCATTCTCTGGAAGCAAATATACACAAGCCTTTTCAAACTTATACGCAATTATTGCGATTTATAAAAATATTCTGATATAGAAGTATATTGTACGTTGTAGGCGAGAAGCCGCACACGTGTGAGATCTGCGGCAAGTCGTTCCGCGTGTCGTACTGCCTCACGCTGCACATGCGCACGCACACCGGCGCTAGGCCCTACACCTGCCCGCACTGCGGGAAGAGGTACCACTGTCCCCTATCACATTATCACATTACACAATTTCACATTATTACATTACACAATATCACATTATATATTACTAGCTATCCGCGCTTCCGTCCGAGTTGAATTAAAAAAAAGTGAGCAGCGCATGTGTTCTTTTAGACTATCCTCTACATCTATACCAAATTTCATCGAAATTCGTTCAGCCGTTTAGGCTACAAATTGACAAACATCGATCCATCCATCTAAACTTTCGCATTTATAATAGTAATATGGGTAGTATGATTAGTATGTTATTTACACTAATACTATAAAGCGAGAGTGAGATAGACTTATATTAAAAAGAGATAATATGTATGTTTGTAACGATACAGCTTAAAAGCTACTGAACCAATTTCAAAAACTATTTAACAATGTGAATGCCTCATTATTCTTGAGTTACAGGTTATGATTTTTTTTGTCTAAAAATTCTTGTCTGCATCTTTACAGTACATAGGTTCTTGTAAAATACAATGTTTTGAATATAACCGCTTCAATTTAAAGTACAGCAATCAATAGATAATCATTTATTGAATGTTAATGTTGCTATTATAAAAATATACTTTTTATTTTTAGACGATGATTTCATACTCGAAGTGATTAAAGCCATGTGTCGCTTTGAAATCTTACGATAGCGTTATATTGCCTATATCTACGCTGTCCCATTTCGGCACATCTTAATTTTACGATCGCATCTATCGTCTCATAAATCGTATTTCGTTTTATAAATGTTTCACTTTATTATTATAGAAATGCTATTTAAATTTTCAATCGTCACTGTCATTTGATGCGAGATTTATGATATGAAGGATTTTATTAATATATATTTTTATTTTATTATTAAATCCATTGTATAGCACTATCAGTATCTACTACCCGTGCACAATAACATAATATGTGTAAATTAAATGACGAGATAGCAAAATACATTAATGTTGATGTCAATATACACCATCATCAATACAAATTTAATAAGAACACTACTGTATAAGTATTTTCAAATATCTTGGAAGCTCAAGAACAAAGGCGCGCTGCACAATCCTCTTGTTCATATATTTGTGTTCTGATTAGTATACGATGTTCCGAGCCGCTAAGATATTTGATTACTACTGTATCTAATTTCCATTACTGAAATATCTTTGTTCAAAGATAAAAAAATTGCAATTAGTAAATAGCATCCATAAAAGATGTTTTCTTTAGGTTTAAAGCACATAGTGTGTACAATCATCACCTCCTTACGCATTCGGATGTGCGGGCGTACAAGTGTCCGCTCTGCCCCAAGGCCTTCAAGACGTCCGTACAACTCGCGGGACACAAGAACTCACACACGAAACCCTTCTCTTGCACACAGTGTAATCGGTGAGTTTTAAATTGATTTGGCACATCAGGAATATGAATACTCTTTAGTTTTACGTGCCAACTTAAGCATCACAAACTAATATTCTTAAACAAAATATTAAGTGACAGGATGGACTCTAACCTATTTGTATTAGATCTTTTAATTCTAAATCCATGTCTGAATTGAATATGGACTTATCTCACGTGTTGTTATAGGATTTGATTATTTGTTTATGGACTCAAGAAGTGTTTAATTTTTGTTATCAATCTGCATGCCAAATCGGGGTTATTTACTAGTATGCATTACTACTTGTTAGACCGTTCGCATCACTGTACGCCGTGAGACTTCACACTGAGGTACATTTACGGGAGAACATTCTCAAGTTCTCGTGTTCCCTGTGCGGGGCGAGCTACGCGCGAGCTTTCGCACTCAAAGACCATATCAAGCAAGCACATAAAGATGCAGTTGATAATAATATGGTGAGTAATTATTTAATTATGAATGCTACCGTGTATATTAATTTTTATAATCTACGAGCAGTTATTAGACATACAAGGTAAATATTTAAAAAAAAATATATAATTACAACCTTTTTTCTGTACCATTCATAGAACTGAACTCTACCATTATATCGATTATGTTGGCATTGCCCAATTTATTTTGCATTCTAGTTTTAGTAAAGTACAATATTGACCATAAGTCAAATATAAAAAAACTAACGAAATATCATCCGGATGACACTAATTGAACAACATAACATAAATGGCTACCATGGAGCGTCCACCGAAGCGATCTAAGAGCTCGGTGGCCAATCCGGTAATAATAACGAAGTAACGGCTCCCCCCGAGGCTCCTGAGGGAGCCCTCGAGCTCAGTTACTCATAAACGAGGTTTAGGCTAAGCGCCGTCTGCGCTCGGCCACCTCAAGCCCGGTGAATCTGTAAATGCCTCTTCAAGGCAAACAGTGGCCATTCAGTCACAAAAAAAAATAAAAAAAAATAGATGGCTCCTATGATAATTATTGTATGTGTAAAACGCAAATTTCTTACAAAATTTTTTTGTACATTATACTTTCAAATTAACAAAGAAATTAGAATCTATTAAGGTACTTATAAAAACTTAGTAACACAACTGTAAGATTTGTTGTTTACATAGGAACTATTGACATATTGTTATCCCTTTCATTATATTAGCAAAAAACAGAGATAATACATTTTTGTACAAATACTTCGGCAGCTGGAAGTCTATACATCTTTATGATATTTTACAACGGTTTTAAAATAGATTAGCAAAGATGTTTTTAATGTGTTCTTGTTTTGAAATGTTTAATTTAATCGTTTAATTCCAATACAGTTTAAAATGTAATCGTTAACACGTGTTGCGCCCCCCCGCGTTGCTGACGTTATTACGAAGATGTTTATAGAATATTTATTTACGGATCCAGATAATAGAATTTGACAGACTACTGTTTTGATGTGAAAATATTAATATCAAAAGACAAAGTGCCTTACGATTACGATAAGAACTTAGTGTTTCAAAAACATACGTATTAGCTTAAACAAACTTCAATAAAAAAAAATAAAAAAAAACATATCGTCGAATTGAATACCTCCTTCTTTTGGGAAGTCGGTCAAAAATGGTTAATACTGTTGAGTCTAAACCCCCTCCCGAATTTTTGCTTTCAGTATAAGTTTTTTTTCATTCTTTATTAGTTAAGATCGCATTTTGTAAGTCTATGTGTAGTATTTTTTCAACAAACATGATTCTATTATAATTCCGCGACGGGCGCTACTCACGGTTGAAAGGGTTAACGTCAGAGGCGTCAGGGGGGGTCATGGGGGTCAAAAGCTTGACCTGACCACGACTATGTGACCTCCTCCTTGCGCCAAAGCTATATCCGACCTTGGTTAACGTATATTTATATTTATACTAAAATGTATTTAAAACAACGTAAATAATAAGATAAAATGTAAAGAACGTAATCTTTTTAGTAAAGCTCTATAATTATATTGTTAATTACACTGAAAATGTGTTTTTAATCTTAGATTGATGTGAAGAGTTTTGGTGTGCAAGTGGGAGACGGCGACACTGACGATCTGGTTGTTATTGACTTCGATAAACAATTGTCTCAAGAGGTATGACATTTTTATTCAATATCATCTGTATCTTAAGAGCTTAATAAGCATTTGCTTTTATCATATACTAGCTTTTGCCCGCGACTACGTCCGCGCGGAATTAAAAAGAACAAAAGAAAGTAGCCTATGTGTTAATCTAGACTATCCTCTACATTTATGCCAAATTTCATCAAGATCCCTTCAGCCGTTTAGGCTACAAACTCTAACAAACATCCATCCATCCATCTAAACTTTCGCATTTATAATATTAGTAAGATCAGTAAGATTGAGTTAGCTTGTTGATATAAAACTTGTACTACGAGATACAAAGATATGCCACACGGGTGTTGCGATTCCAGTGCGTTTAGGATACGTTGACGTTGCGTTATAAACAACTTAAGTGCTTTATATTAGTAGTTTTCGCCCGCGACTCCGTCCGGGTAGAATTAAAAAAGTGAGTAGCCTAAGTGTTCTTCCAGACTATCCTCTACATTTATACCAAATTTCATCAAGATCCCTTCAGCTGTTTAGGCTACAAACTCTAACATCCATCTAAACTTTAGCGTTAATAATATTAGTAAGAATAAACCTTAACTCTATTTTATTGAAATTATGAACAAATACTAGTTGTAATTTTAAACAGTACAACCTTGATAAGTTAAAGTCCAAGGGAAACACAAAATACTTTAAGTTATAGAGGTTTTAAGTTAACAAGGGTCTATGTTGTAGAGGTATTGGGCTCTGATGGGAAGGGAACATATTATTTTTTGAAGTTATAGAGGTTTTTAAGTTACCGAGGTTTGAGTTATCGAGGTTCTACTGTATTACTCTAAACAGCATCGTTGCAAACCTGTTAATAACATGCACCATTTTGTTGCCTGAAACTTTGTGTCACGCGTACGTAATTTAAACTGAAAAATAAACAATAATGCAATGATATCGTTTATTGTGTTACAGATTGACACGGACTCGAATACGCCCGATATGATTATTTCTTAACTTAAGGTGCTGAATTTTGTGTAGATATTTTTGTAACTATAGGTTGTACAAGCACTTGTATAATTATTGTCGTCTCTTTCAGTATCTGTTAAAAAAAAGAGACAAAAATGTATCATCACAAGTCGTGCAAGAATTTTACGATAATACGTCTGTTGGTTAATGGATTTATTTCTATACATTTTGTATGTAATAAAACTTATTTGTTGATCTATTAATTATAATAATTTCTTATGTGATTTGTATATTAGTAAATATAAGTAAAATTGGCAAAATGCCAAAACTTATTTGTAAATTTTTTTACGTACGTATGGGTTTGCTCTATTTTGCTCTATTGAATAATTTATATGAAAATAATGTATTTAATTCTTTCATAAAGTACTATCTGTTTTCATATAATTGTTCCAAATGTGAAATTTAACTTTAGTTAATGTAATGTATATGGTAGTAGAATAAGATTTAATATTTGTACTAAAGGTGTGGGGTACGAGGGGAAACTTTGTGTTGTTACAACGATGGAAATAAAGAAATCATGTTTATATGGTAGTTAGGAAACAATTTTTTAAGTTATAATTTACTATTAATTCTAAATTTATACTAATGATCCGCCACAGTAATATCAATGTTTTTACGTAGAAAAAGACCTTAAGACCTCCTTTTAACAAGCTTGACCATAGCGCGATAGCTTTGATCAATAAATATTAGATATTCATAATAAATATGTTATTATATCAAAGTTTTCCTTAATTTCTACCCCAAATTAAAATAACAGGCAATTTAGCAATAAACAAGTTTTTATTTAATATTTGGTCCATAAAAATGTTATACAACATTACAAATCATCTTTTTGGTATACAGCTGTATATCTTTATAATATTTTACAACTTCACTACTGAAGATTACTTAATATTACTTAATCAATAATCACATTTATTTAGTTTTTGATATTTCTTACGCACTTACAAGAACTATCACAACGTGCAACTTAACGCTACTTAAAACTAATAATTTAAACTTCATTTTCTTACAAATTAATCAATTAACAATCTTAATATGGAATATAATCAATGTCTTTGGAATTTGAGGTATTATCACGTTTGTCCGTTTGTCCACTCGCCCTCCATGCGCCATACGGAGAAGGCGTAGCTTAACTTATCCTGTGCGAGGTACTTGCCGTGCTCGCCGGCCGCTTCGCCGCCCTCGCTCGCCGCGCACTCGCTGCTCGATAGAATCTGGTACAGGAACTCTATGTACTGCGTCGCCAACTGCAGCGTCTGGATCTTGGACAGCTTGTCGCTCGGCAGAGAAGGTATGATCTGTCTCAAGCTCGCGAACGCCTCATTCAAACTCTGGGTCCTTTGTCGCTCCCTCACGTTCGCCATCACCCGTTGGATCTGCATCTCTTCGAACGACTGCGTTTTCTTTCTAGAAGCTTTCGAGGACCGCTTCCTCGATCTTCTCTGCTCGTCGTTGTCGTCGCTCCGTTCCTCTGTCGACGCTCTATACGACGTTTCCCCGATCTTCGCAGCTTCGGTGTTTTCGTAGAATCCGTTCACTCTGTCCTGGGAATTGGAATCGTCGAAGTAGAATGTCCGAGGTAATTGTCTCTGTCTCTGATCGGCCATGTAGAGTTGGTCGTACGGCGGATACTGCGGCTGCTGGTAGTCTCGATCCTCGCTGTCGAATATCACGTTGTTGGGCCAAGCCTGCTGTAGCACTGGTCTTTCGATTCCGTTGCTCAAATCCATAAGGTGTGTCGGCGAGGAGGGCGCGAACGTTTGTGGATCGTGTCTTTTCACTTCGACGGGCACATATCGGTAGTACTCGTCGTCATCGCGGCAATCGGGATCCTCCTCGCGTTTGATGGGCACTATTCTATCACAACTGTCGTAGTTCATGTTTCTCGGTAGACTCGGCATGTGCGCGTGCGCGTAGCTGTCGCGGTCGCGTGCGGCTGGTGACTGAGAGATCCTGGGCCGGACCGCCCCTACCCGTCCCTTCATTGACAACGCACAAAAAATAACCATCTCCACTCGCACCTCCCGCCCAGCGCGCCGCCCCCCGCCCGCGCTTTTGCAATCCTTCGAGTGCGACAAGGACAGACGTAGTGGAGCCGCGTCGATCGTTGACCGGTTTGTATTTATCTTGTCCATCATTTTCCATCCATATTTACTGCTTCTACATAGTAGTCCTAGGTATACTTATATACGTTCGGACGCCATGGCCGATCGCATCGGTGAGCGCGCATCCTGCCCGCCAGCCCGCCAGACATCGATGTTATAGCACCGTAGCAAAAGTAATCGATCACTGTCTATCTACCATTAATATTTTATCTGTTTATATTTATTTTGGAATTATTCATTAAAGACGAACTTCACCAAAATACGAATAAATACTTAGGAATAAATATTAATTACTAGCGACGATATTTAAATATTGTATGATATAAAATTTTACGACTTTCCGATACTGAAATTTGAGACAAGTCGTAGGTAAGGCAGGAATCGGCGCCACCCTTCCTTGAAAATTTTTTGTGCAGTCGCGTCGTCCTGTCGCCGCCATACTAAAAATATCTTTGACGCAATCGGACCACAAAGCTCGATCCCACGGCCGCACCGCGATGATGCCTTCTACTATATATTATAAATATTTTAATTATTTTATCTCTGCCGCTCACGGTTAGACGCGGTCTGTACAATGTTACAGGATCTGACATTTTTACAGCTCTGGTAATCATCCTGTAGGTTTGAAAATAGTCATTTGTACGAATAAGTAAAGTAAATGTATAGTATGTATATATTTCGTTTAATGAATAATTTTGGGTATGGAGTTTAAAAACAAAAATTACGCACGGAAGATTTTGCTCTCTGAGTGCACATTTTTTTCCTTATAGTTACCTTAGAGACGCAAATAAAATTGTACGATTTATTACAAAACTTTGGGAGGTTTACATCGGCTAATAAAAGTTTTATAAAATAAATTTGGAAACTCTGTAAACTAAACTGCGTTTATTTCAGTATTTACGGAGCATTTCATTTATTTTTTAAGAATTTAAACACTCGTATCTTCACATTAACTACTGCTTTTAAAGAATACATAAATGCATATTACATTTCCATTTTTTTTTTTAAATTAAAAGTCAGACGAACGCGCCAAGATTTTGTTAATTAAAATTTGTATATACACACGCACTGTTGATTGCTCCCGTCACCTGTCAATACATACAAGATATCACTGTCTGTCTGTACGTAAAAGCATCTGTCCAACGGCACCCGATACCGTCTGTATTTCTAAAACACGGTGTTATGATTTGAACGTAATTCAATCATCGTAGCCGTTTTATTTTGTTTTAAATTTTTGTTTGTTATTATTGACCTCCACTAGCGATAGCTGAGTAAACGCATTAACTAGTAACTTGCTCCGACTCTGCACGGATAATAATACATTTTTATGTTGTAATATCGTACCAGATTATTAGCGATATAATATCTTTAGCGACCTACGTCAAATTTCTGCCGATTTAAAAATCATTTTTATCAAAAGCTTTCTAAATAACTTCGTTTACAATAAACCACATGAAACGCATCTAAATGGACTTGACAATTTGTCTTAGTAGGAAATTGCTACGTTTTCTATTGGTTTGATCATATGAAAGAGGGAGAAGAAATCTGCATTAAGATTTCAGATTCATTTGCAATATAGTTAATATAAGTTTAATGTAAATATTACTAAACGTATGTTAAATGTACAAGTATTTCTGTTACAATCGCCCACAGCGACATGAACGATGTTGGCGCGTTATTTATCGTTTCTCATTCATTCCGAGCATATCCTTACGTCAGGTATCTTAAATATATTCCCCTCAAGATGCACCGCGGCTTTACAAACTTGCAATTAAAATAAATGTATGTTTGTTATTCCCTCTGTTATTCTTTACGTTCTATTATCGATAATATAATTAAGTTGAGGTTAGTTAGGTAATAAAGTTTAATTTTTGATGTATTTTTGAAACCGAAAACTTCAACTTATGTTCTGTTTAACAAAGGCTTGTTAAAGATATAAGTAGGTTAATTTATAAAACAGAGAAACATATAATATGCCAATGATATCTTGATACATTGTTAAAATTTGTCAAACCGTAACTGAAAATCAACGTAATAATAAATTACAAGAATATTTAGTACATTTTGTAAAGCTTATCTAAAATAATATTGGAAATTCTCGAAAATGGAACAGACGCGATAGATTTAAATGGCTTAAAGTACCCAGGGCCGGATCCAAAATGAGTCATGTCCCGACATCTGCGATGCGAGCCGATATTGGCGGTTTCATTCACAAACAAAATATGCTCTTACCGTTATCTTTTCTTTTTCATCTCGTTAATGACGCCGTGGCTGATAAGGCCTGTCTACAAGCTAAGTACCTTGTATGAATGAACCACATACATGGTGAGTATAAGTTGGACATCTCTTACATGAAAAGTTCCGCCCTTCATTCACTCGCATTTTCAGTTTAAAACCAAACAAAAAAGCATGCTTCATTTTGGTAATTTTTGGACATTGAGATATTCAATTTGATAAAGTTATGATGTCCGGAATATAAGACTAATACGGAATACAAATAAGTAATCAATAAACTTCAAATTGACAACACAAATTGGCGATATTCTACTTTCTCACTAATGAATATGCTAGCGAAAGGTTCTATAAGGGTCATTCAAAAAGTAACAAACTAAAATGTAAACAGAAATACTGTTCATTTTAGACTTTTCGGTTTAGTAGTCAACTCAATTTTTTGTCCTTTCAAACAGAAACTTATTTGTATAAGCTAAGAATTATAGCTATATAGAAGTATATTATTATAAGCTTATGCAACAAGGTTTTAATACTAAAATTATAGTTTTTCTACGTAGAGATTGTACTGAATTGTCATTGGATAAAAAAGCATTAATAAGCAATAATCTCGACTAAATGAGCTTAAGACAAAGTATTCATCCCCTTGTTGTGTACAGATGTTGCAGCCGTGAGAGATTAACGCCTCGCTAAGTTTATTTTGTTAAGAGTTTTACGACGCTGTGGTTTATTTTCAAACTTTCAGTGTTTGCGGTTGTAAGTGACACCTGCTTTAGATAACGTTCATACTCGTTAGTGCATAAAGTGTACAAACTATTTTGTTGACATCCTGTTGCGTTTTGCTGTTTGTGAATATTATTAGGGTTATTTGCTACTGATTGTTAATTTACGATAAACAAATATCATTTTCAATGTAATTTTATAATGTTCTATAAATGAAATTCATAATTTGAACGCATTAAGATTAAAAAAAATCTTCGTTTGTGACGTTTCTAAAGCTTTTTTTATTTACCATAACTGGATGCCTTTCTAATGGAGGAAAGAAATGTGCGTTTTGCTTTATATTTATTTTTACTGACTATGTTCTAGAACTGCCTTTGGTCAAACCTTTCCTCAAACAATACTTTACTTTCCCACGCCGACAGACGCCGCATCTGCGCGCAACATGCCAAAATTAGTAGATGGACGCCGCCCGATGACCATTGTTTCTCCTGGATAATAAAAAGCAGGGATTAGGTTCTAAACGGCAATATCGTAATAAATAATAAATGGTCTTGGAAATGTTCAGTGCCATAAAACATCTGCACGGCCTCCGCAGCTGTGCTCAGAGGAAAATACGTCACACGTGTGCCGCATCCATAGCCCGGTCTTCCTTAATACCTGTTTACTTGATAACGCCTATTGTTCTTTTAACGAGTAATTCGCTAATGCTATTATCGTTATGCCAAACACCTGTGGTGAACTGTAACAGATGGCCTTTACAAGCTCGTTAGAACTTGTTTTCTAATACGATTTCAACTGAAATATGCTTTTGTGTAATTATTTTTTATAATACCTCTTGTTACTAAGAATTAAAAAAATGTGGAGAATGTACGTGTTGTTTGTTTTTTAAATTCTTTTAACTTAATAATATTTAATCTTGTTTAAATAAATTCGTTGCATTAATATCTATAATATTTTTAAATCCACATTTCTTTACTGTGCTGGACAAAAGTAGAATGTCTCTGATAATAATAAAGTAATATCTAAATGTTAATTTAAACGGTTGCAATTTTACTTACATAATTATTTGATTTCAATATAAAGATAACTTACAACTAGCAAGCATTTTAAGTTAGAAATAAATATGATTACAAATTTCGAAAACAAATAATTTCAATGAAAAAGTCCGGGCTATAGATACGGTTTTCAGGGTACACCTCCGGCGAGCAGCGCACAGATGCGACGCATGTGTGGCGCTCTGCACGGTGATGCCGACGACGGACCGGCCACCATGGTTTATAGAGAAATGTGGATAAATCGTGTTAACTAGAATCAATTATTTAATAATTGAAAATATAGGAGCTATAGTCGTTTAGAAAATATTTCATGGTGTGGGTTTAAAAGTTGTTCATTTACACTAATTGTATGTTAATTAAAAAAAATATATTATGGATTTTGTAACAAAAATTTTAGCCGATGATAAGATTCTTGTCATATTTCTGCAATTAAAAATGTCGTTTTTTTATTATGACCTGGCCGGTACTTTACATGTTAATATTTGTCTTGCCATCATACAATTACTGAATTAAATTACAATTGTAATCAAAACTAACATAAATTGTATGTCTTTTGACTGGTAATCTTTAAAGAAAAAATAAATGATGTTCGTTAGGACTATCCTAATTAGAACTTCATAGTCATCGTAGCGTCACCCTGTATTGTCCGGCGTTCACACGAATTGTTTTGTTTCAGCAGATGCCTGATGCACTGCAAGACATTCCTGCCTACTAGGAACGCTGCCAACTAATTACGCTCTCTGAATTAACCTGACTTAATACATAGCTCAAAAACCTACGCCAGTGGAAAGAGCACCCGTTCACTTTTCAGATCCGCGGTGTCAAGAATGAAAGTCGCCCTAATAATCGCCGAACTTCGGAAGAAGATGGCACTTCAAGAAGAAGAAGAAGCATACAATGCATTTTTATTTAGTCACGCTAACTAGTTAACTTTTATGTGGTTATTTTTTAATCAGAATTTAATTTATATTTCTAATCTAAGGACTAGGGAGTTGCACAGTATACTTGTATTTCACGGGAATGTTATATATTCGAAGTTATAAAAACTAAAAATATTAATATAATACTTAACAATGAATCAATTTATCACTGAATACAACGCGCATAAGACAACTGAGTCGATGATATTTTATTCTAACATAGCCTAAATAGTGTGCACAAACGTGACAGAGTGCTACGGAAACATGAAATCTCGTATGAGAAATCGTATCCGTGAAACACATGAATATTACGTCCAAAGATGAAAGCTTTGTAAGTAATATATCGACGGAAATATCTATTTTGCATGGCTAGATACATCCGTGACCAAAACATCGTTTATGTATTCAGACTATTACGTCCTTTACTTCAATAAATGGAAAATTACAGTTTACTACAAGGATAAGGAGCAGATTAATAAAAAAATATATTTAAATACTAGCTTTCACCCGCGACTCTGTCCGTGTGGAATTAAAAAAACACAAAGATAAGTAACCTATGTGTTCTTCTAGACATCTACATCCATGCCAAATTTCATCGACATCTGTTCAGCAGTTTAAGCTACAAGGTTTAACAAACATCCATCTAAACTTTCGCATTTATAATATTAATAAGATATTATTGTGTGGGTAATCATATGATTTTAGTCTGTATGTTTAATTGCTTATGTCAAAGACAATAATAATGTTTCCTTTTAAGGAAATTTCATTAACTTGCACTTCAATTTAATATCTAAAGAACTCGTATTAATTATTAAATAATATTACTGCTACTGTAATACTGAAAATAACACATTGCTTATAAAAATATCAGTCCGATCGCAAATTGTAATTCGATCCATTTACAAAGGCAAGTGTTATATGGCAGCGAGCTTTGCAAACCTCTTTCCGAACAGTCGCGTGACGTCACGAGGGACTCCGAACAGACGCGTTGCCGAGGATTTCATTATAACGCGCCATATTTCAAAGGCCAACCGTGACACTAACCAAACCCCGATGTCGAATGACATATGAGGTCATCGCTCAATTTCTGAACATTTAACTGGTTCAACATCGCTTTAATGATTCCGCCTATACTTAAACATATCTACTGAGTAAATTATTCTTACTATTTAGATGGTCCAAACAAGAGTAAATTAAATGTGGAAATGCTAAGAAGAAACTTTCTATCTTATCTATCTTGGTGATTAACTTATATATTTGTCTAAGTGTGTCATTTATTTTGTAAATGAAAATAAATGAAAGTGTTGAAATCAATTTATAGTAATACGGAAAATTTTCAAATGCTCGACTGCGCTTGGCATTAGTATAAGAGGAGTTTTATGTAAAAGGCCTTTTATGTTATAGGCCAATAACATTTTATTAATTTCATGAATTATTTTAACGCGAAACTTGAACGGAAGCGAGCACTAAACGTATCAACACTACGGGCGCTCGCTTTCAAAGCAAATACACTTATATTGGCAATGATATGAAAATACAAATACCCTGTTGAAAGAATTAACGTTAATAAGAAGCACATTTCACACCGGATTAATAATGCATATTAAGAGATGGAATTTATACCAAATATGTGACAATGTAAATAAGGCCAAAGACATTATATCGTGAACCATGAAACCAAAATACTGTAAGTATTGTAAAACTTTCAAAAGTTTTCTTTAATGAGCGTAGGGTCTTAAACGTCATGCGTTCTGTTAGGTACTAGAATCATATAATTATTATAGACCTAACTGATGGAACAAACCGTTAAAATATTCCAAGGAAAACATTATACTACCTATTTACGTTTACTCGTGACAGACTGTTTATCTTTAGCCGCTTTTACGATCCAGCGATGAATTATTAACCGTCGCCGCAGTGACAGACTGTCTCCGGCAGTGAAATATAATAAAGGAATATTCGTTTATGCTATTTGTTAAGTTTAATTGCCTTAAAATGTTTTATTGTTAATTAACAGTTGATTATAATAACCTCTTCTTCATTTGTATAGCTAGTTGTCTTAATTTTTCACCTACTGCTACAAATTTCAACAAAGCCAAGCTAAGCTGATGTTTCACCCAGTTTCACCTAGAGATAATACAACCTTGCTGTTTTTAATACATTATTTATTGAGGTATTCATGTCTTTTTAAACTTTCACGGATTGTGAGTGTTTACGACTGAGATGACTGGTCGGCCCAATCGGAAATCGACCTAATCGGGAAAAACCATTTGTGCCTTCTTAATATTGATTGCTAGTAAAAAAAAATGTGATTACAGGAAGGCAGAAGTGAAAATAAAAAAGGAACACTATGGACAAAGGAATAGATTGAATACTCTGTGATGCGCAAGAGTGGCAAATGGCGAGCGACCGAATTGTCAATGTCAAATTGTCAAAACTTCGCGCTTATTTATCAATGTATGCTGTTGTGATATTAGGTTAAGAGTATCATTATTATTTAAGTATTTTCTGAATCATGATGCTATTTTAATTAATGAAAATGGATAAAGGAGAAACATTTTTATCGTGTGCAGTGACCGCCGAATGGACTACACCAGAAGGTTCGATTATTAGAAAAGTAAATCATAAGACTGCTTCTTTGCGACTGATACGAAACGAATTTCGTGAGATGTTCATGGAGATAACTACAGATAAACATGCCGCAATTCGATTAGGTTTAAAAGGTATCAATGTTTTTAAAAAGTTTATGGCTGAAGGAAAAGCTAGTATTAAGTTCCAAGAGGTTGGTTGTACATTATTTCTTTCAAACGCACCTCCAACGAACCTCGTTTCCTTTCTTCGAACGATGTTTGTCAAGATGACTGGAGATAAGGATAATCATTCAACTACTTCTAAACAAACTATGAGAACAAAATTACTAAGTGGTAAGGCTCAAGCTTTTGAAGAAATTAGTCCAGTAACTGTGGCTGATATGCGTAATGCTAAAAATAAGATCAGTAAGGCCACAGTCACAACTCCATCGCCTCCAAGAAAGCGAAAAGCTCAGGAGGAAACTAGAGGTCCTGCACCTAAAAAATTATATTCACCATCACCTCTGTCCAGTCAGGGTACATTAAACAGTGAACAACAGAGGGTATTAGAAGCTTGTGTTAGTGGTAAAAACATATTCTTCACTGGTTCAGCTGGCACCGGCAAAAGTTATCTATTAAAAAGAATTGTAACTGCTTTGCCACCCGATGTTACAGTCGCCACTGCATCTACAGGTGTTGCAGCTTGTCATATAGGTAAGTACTCTTTTTATTAATGCTTTTTCTGCTTAAATGACACTACTTTAGTTAAATTTGAAATATAAAGTACTATTTGAAATAAGCAACATTCATTTTTGAATCCAGAATGTTCTTTTGTGTACAGGTGGAACAACTCTTCATGCTTTTGCTGGTATAGGCGATGGCAGTGGGTCTTTAGAAAATCTCTGTCAGAAAGCAACTAAATTACCACTAGTTGCTCAAAAATGGAGAAAATGCAAGCATCTCATAATAGATGAAATCTCAATGGTTGATGGGGCATTTTTTGAGGTACATAGATTACATATTTATTGGCAAAGATTTTTATTTCTAAATAACTTTTTAATAATATTATTACATTTTCAGAAACTTGAAGCAGTCGCTAGATATGTGAGGAAAAATGATAAGCCATTTGGTGGCATACAATTGATACTATGCGGTGACTTTTTGCAACTACCTCCAGTTGTTGACAAGAGCAAAAATGCAAAGAAATTTTGCTTCCAATCTCCATGCTGGGATAAATGTATTGAGCTCTGTTTTGAACTCAAGGAAATACACAGACAGACTGATCAAGAATTTATAACTATATTAAATAGCATAAGAATAGGTCGTGTTACAAAGGAAATTAGTGATCGTTTGTTAGGGACGGCTAGACAAAAAATTGAAAGTGATGGAATACTAGCTACAAGGTTGTGTTCACATACTAATGATTCTAAAATGATAAACAATTCAAAACTAAGAGATCTCAAAGGAGATGAGAAAATATTTGCTTCACAAGACAGTGATAATGCAACAAATATGTTGGACAACCAAACTATTGCACCTTCAAAATTAGTACTTAAAATAGGAGCACAAGTGATGCTTTTGAAGAACATAAATGTGAATGCAGGTTTAGTTAATGGTGCCAGAGGTGTTGTAGTCAGATTTGATGAAGGACTACCTGTAGTAAGATTTAAAAATAAAAAGGAATATACTGCTAAAGCAGAAAGATGGTATGTTAAAAACTCAAGTGGGACATTGTTGTGTAGGCAACAGATTCCATTGAATCTAGCTTGGGCTTTCTCTATCCACAAATCACAAGGTTTAACTTTAGATTGTGTAGAAATGTCTTTATCAAAGATTTTTGAAGCAGGACAAGCTTATGTAGCTCTGAGTAGAGCACAAAGTCTAGATACATTGCGAGTGCTAGATTTTGATTCTAGACATGTATGGGCTGATCCAAATGTCCTGGAATTTTACCAAAGATTCAGGCGACGTCTACAGCACATGGAAATCATACCCCTGGGCAGACCATTGTCTGATAAGACAAATAAAAAATTGAAACTTAGAGAAATTTTACAAAAACAAATGACTAGGAAATAATGAAATAAGTAACAATAGTTTTTAGGTCAATTTTACTTTAATTTGACAGCTACAATAAAACACTAAACACGTAAATTATGATAAGAGATCCATTTAGGTTAGTTCATCAAAATAAAATCCTTAAACAAATGTAGGTACAATAATTTATTTTAATTTCTAAAGAAAATTTTAAATGAAATGACAGTTTATATTATATTATATCTATGGTATAAGGTGTTAAAATGGCATGTAACTGCAATTATTCACCAAAATAATTTAGTAACTGCTACCCATTGAAATTCTGCATTTGCAGATACCATAAAGAGGTGACAGAGGGGATGCACAGAAAGTGGCTATTTCTCTCCACTTCCACTCTTCCTGTCCTTGTAAATAGGGTGGAAAGGGGAAGAGGGAAAATTGTCAAATTATAATTAGAAACATAAGTTACAACAATATATTTTTATCTTTATGGCTTGTCTAACTTTATAAGACAAAATACAGTCCAATCTCATACATTTAAGACTGAATTAAACAATATTGTAGTTTTAAGTTTATTAATAAGTTTATATGTCAATAAAAAATAATTAATTTATTTCTATGTTAATGCAGTCTTTCTTTTACCTTGACTCAACAGTGGTTAGAATATCTATCTGTTCTTCAAGGGTAGCTAGCTTCTCTTGTAAGCATTTAACAATATATTTCTGTGTTTCAATACTCTGTTCCGTTTCTTTTTTAGACGATTTAGCTTCTTCCAAGTTTTTTTGTAAAAATTCTACATGCTTTTTATTTTGAACAACTAATTCCATCAGTCTTGTATTCAAATGATCTTGTTTTTTTATTAATATCCATAGTTGAGCTTCAGTTGGTGTGTCGGGCTTACATTTGTAGTCATCATTCAAATAAGTTTCTAAATTTGAAGGCTCCTTCATTTTGCTTAATGTATTTTTAATGTTAGACATTAACTCAGCCTGTGTCAATTTATTTAGGACTCTGTCAACATTAGTTCTTGATGATATGGATGTTTCTTGAGTTTGCTGAAATAAATATGTAAAGCACATATTATTTGTTATGTATATGTATTAACAATATCTTTCGTAATGTTTAACTGGCTCTTTTTGCTTGTGGGATTATTTATGAGAATGTATAAAGGAATCATTAAATTATACTAAAACTCACTTTAACAGGATTTCTGTGTGCAACTGCAGAAAATAAAGTTGGTACAGCATCATCTTTCAATTTTCCTTTGATATTAAAACACTTTGTTTCAAAATGTTTGGAACATATTTTACTTCTGTTCCAATCAAGGACAGTACATTTAGTTTTTAACATCTGCAACCATTTATTCCTCATGTCACTCCTGATTGGACATCTGTAAATAAAGATCGACAAGACGATAATATTACCAATAATACAAATGACAAAATCTTTAATACATAAATACACAAAACTTACGGGTGAAATGTCACTCCTCGAGGTTTATTAAAAAGGTTATTGTTACAGTCGCGTACCGCACAATCGGTGTGAGACATTCTGATTGCACTTTTATAAAAATATGCCTTAAATGTATTTATTTTAGCTTAAAATCTTTGGCAAATCCGGCAATTTTTTTTTCGAACTATAGAAATGTCACTGTGACACTGACATTACGAGTTTAGTGTTGCAATTGCAACTACATTGATTATAACGATCTGCGAAAATTAATTAAAAAATGTACATAATGGTAATTCTAAAGATCTGCTCGCAGGTATTTTTCCATAAAAAAAGTACCGTTTCTTATACTATGTGATGTTTAGAAACTTGTTATAAAATCCTAAAACTTATCATAGGGTCGTAGTCATGATTGGTCATGATCATTTAATGTAGAATAAAACACCAAAGTTCTTTGTTTTCCTTTATTTATAACATATTAAATACGAAAATTATAATTTGATAAGGATATACACATATATTGACATAAATATGTTAATATTGAATAAATATTATTTTAATCAGTGACACTTATCGCTACAGGCGGAATGAATCTCCATACGTGGTTGACTTCTCCGGAGCACGGTTGTATTATCGAAGTGTTGTCGACCTCCTTAACAGGTTCTTCTAATATCGGCTCTGTGGTAGAGCATTGTATGTCTATTTTATATTCGCCCGGAGTTAAAAAGACAACGGTACATTCATGAAACGCTTTAGAACTTTCCGTTAATGTTGACAAAACCACCCTGAAAACAGAAAATTATGAGAATTCGTTTGAGCTATACTTTTATGCAATGCAAACAATAAAACAAAGTTTTCATGTTGCGGATGAAGTAGTATGAAACAGGTAATAGGGAACATTCATGTTGTTTTTTTAAACACTTCTATTTGTTATTAGATACCAGAATAAAATGTCATATAAAAACCCATTGAGCTTAAAAAATACAATCATTTTCGTCCGACTAAAACGCGGCCGGAGTGTTGTGACTTTGTCAAACAACAACAAACTATTTGATTGGTTCAGAGTTATCAAAATCAAAAAAATGATTAAATCCATCTATTGCTTGCTTCCACCAATATCGTTGCGTTTTAGAATTTGCGAGGGAATTTTAAAACAATTTTAAATAATTAAATGTGGCTTCTAAATCATATTACATTAAAAAATAGATATGTTTTTATACTAATAAAGAAAAAAAAATCGGCCAATTTGTTTATTAATATATAAATGAGGGTATACTTGTTATTGCCGGCGGTGGCGAGGCGGTTGTCGAGGTCGTAGCAGAGCACGCCGTTGTTGTAGTCCTGGTAGAACTGCAGCGAAAGGCAGAGCTGGCGCAGCGGCCGGCTCAGCGCGTTCTGCACGCGCACGCGCACCCCCAGCCGCTCGCCCGCGCCGCACACCACCTCCTCCTGCGCCTTTATGCATTGCTCGTTCACGCTCACCTCTGCAATACAACATTAACTATTCTTACAATGCAATTAGATTTGACATATTTTTCACCGTTTTATTCTTAGAAAAGGGTGTACATTTTTTACACTTTTCTTTCCACTCAAATTCACTTTTAGATTCCAAAGCGGATTTGACGGAGGAGACACAAAGGAAGGGGAAATGTCTTCATGTGCGTCTCTTTTATCGATTAATGGTAGGTAACGCATCTATAATTGCTGATGTCTATGGGTAGCCATCGCTTTGCCATTTCGGCGGTTTCAGGTGGCCACTTACTTGTTTGCCACTTTAAAATATATAAAAAAGTTAAGAATTTAAGACTACAAAGTAAGGAGATACCAATTAAAACGAAATGAATCTAAAAGACGTTTCTGTTATGACGATATAAGTTATACATCCCGGCATTATATTCTATTGCATTTAAAAAAAAAAACCTTTTTTTAATGATTACTATTCCCTTCATTATTGTTACAACCCGTTACGACGTTAATAGTAATGTGGTAGTAAAAAAGAATGTAAAACCATAGATAATAGAAAATTGACCCCAGTTGAGAGGCGACATCCGGACGATGTCCATCATGGCGTGCGAGAGCGTGATGCCGCGCACGGAGGCGGCGCCGCGCAGCGCCGACTGCAGCAGCTGCCAGCGCAGCGACACCGCGCTGCGGATGTGCTCCGAGCACAGCCGCTCCAGGCTCGGCGCCCCGCTACATCTCGATGAACACTTCGATTCTGACGTATCTGTTCACCGTTTCAAAATTAAATAGCCTTTTACACAGAGTTACACTTCTTTCATTCAGAATTGCTTACAAAAAGCTTATGAACTAAATATACAGTTCTACAATTTTTCGTAACAGCTGTTTACCAGTCTGCAAAGGCCACCAATATATTTATTACTCTGGCTTATATTATTTATCTTGTTAATTTCTGTTTTTTCTGTATTGGATTTTTTGTCTATTTTTCTTGTTATATACCTATGTGTCTAAATATTTGGTGTTCATCGTTTACTCTATGGCGGATATTACCAAAGAGTAAGTATTGTCAATTTTATATCAACTGTCAAATTAGAAACGGAACCGTTGGGAATCATTATAATATTGCTAGAATATTTACAGCATTGAATTGGAAGAATATCTTTGTTCCATTAACATACTAATGTTATAAATGCGAAAGTTTAGATGGATGGATGTTTGTACCCTAAACGGCTGAGCGAATTTCGATGAAAGTATAGATGTAGAGGATAGTATGGGAGAACACATAGGCTAACTTTTGTTTTTATTTAATCCCACGCAGTCGGAGTCGCGGGCGAAAGCTACTTTCAAATAAAACCAAAATACGAGTTATGGCATTTCGATATCAAATCGCCGCATTTGTAACTAATAAAGTGGGAGTGGTTCAAAAATATGTTATTTCCAAGTTATTCTGATTAGTGAGAATGTGAAATACCTTCGTCATATTTATTGGGCGCGAGGTTGAAGGGGCAGCGGTCCAGCGGCACGGGCACCCTCCGCGACTCCTTGCTCTCGATCAGTATGTGCTTGTCCGCCGTGTAGTGGAACGACATCTCCTCCGACGTCAGGTTTGTGACATCCAACACCAGGTACAGCTGTGTGGGTCTGAAATATCATTCAAATTGCATAGTTTAGATGTTAAAGTACCATTAAAAGCTGAACAGGAAATACAAAAAAAAAATAAACATACATACGAATTGAGTACCTCCTTCTTTTGAGAGGTCAGTCAAAAATGTATAGAGTTGATAGCAACTAACTTCAAATCAGTGCAAAAAACATAGATAACAATAATTTAATACATAATGAATTATGTAATATTTCTACTTATTGGGCGAAGTATCATATTTAGTTATTTTTATGTACTTCTTAAAAAAACTCATTATAGACTTAAGAGACCTAATCTAACGAGCACAACGGCTAAAAAGGCTTCCGAAGACCTTTCATTTGAAAACCCTTACACTTGGAAAGTCTATTAGACGTCAAACTTGTATAAAACAGTATAAATGAAGATTGAACAAACATTTCCGCCGGCAGCACATCCCAGTGCGTGATGGAGACGCTGGGCAGCAGCTCCAAGTTGAACTGCAGCGTGGCCTGCCGGCACTGGCTCTCGCGCCCCGCGCCGCCCGAGTACCTTAGTATCATCTGTGGGTAATAACAATATTACCACAGGCAATACACGGTACTAGTATATTATAATAAATGTAGCATAGCACCTATATTAGAGAAAAATAAAGTAACTTAGGGACCAAAATAAAGAATATATAGGGTCAGAGATGGCCAATTTACATGCACTAAAATATATTGCCCTGGTTTTATTGAAGCCTGGCTTTTTCCGTGCGACTTAATCCGTATAATATCATAAAAAATACTTTATTTTATTAAATACCGTAAAACTTTCATTTGCAAATGTTTAAATGACGATGGTCTTTGCTATTGGCCTTACAATTCCTATTATAATGGCAACCTTGCGTCTTTGCTGCTATTGGCTTGTAGTTTTTGTCCCTTTCTCGCATGAATGTTTTTTTCAAATTTTTTTACCCTTATATTAGATAGCGTGAAAATGTATAGCCTATAGCGTGTGGTAAGTGTATAGCTTTATAATAAAAAAAGGTTTCATAGATAACAATGCGTGTGGCAACATTTTATTATATTAGTATAGACATAGAAAAATAAATTTCCCTTTATTATGTTAAATTATTGTTGTTTTAATAATAATTTGAAAGTGAACTGACCTGTGCTTCAACCTGTCGTCCTCTAGACGGCGGCATCACGGACAGCGGCGCTGACCAACTTGTCGTTTGAGAATTTGAAGATCTGAAAAGCAAAAATAGTAGCAGTAGTATCAACATATCAAAAAGTATTTTGGCATTTATGTATGTTTGTATTGTCAAATTCATTAGAAATAAGAAAATTTACTCATTGCGTGACAATGATATTTAGTGTCTATTTCTTAATTGCATAGATCCGACTTTACAGGATGATTCATAACGGTCGGATCAAGAGATTTGTGCATGACTTTTATAGTTTATTAATCTCTATTAAAAAAAAAATAATGTTAGAAGGACAAAGAATCGCGGAATATGTGGGCTTAAACAAATTAAAATTCCCTACCTCTACAAAGTTTTTGATTGGTCCGTTAAGAATCACCCTGTATATCAATAAATAGTAAATTTTGATAATCTATTGGTATTTTTCCCTGAGGAAAGTGTTTAAATTGAATGAAGTGTTTGTTAATATAAAACTGAATCATACCTGAAACTGCCAGAAGTTCTGTTAACCATTAACCCGCTGCTTAGTGATGTATGTGGGTTGGAACTCTGCGTGGGCAGCGAGAGCTGCGCGTTGTGCGCGGGGGAGCCCACTCTTGATGGGTAGTTGGAGGTGAGGCTGTTGGGGAACAGATTCTCTCCATCACCTCCGAGGTCCAGGAAGTCGGCTTCAGCGTATAAGTGGAGAGTGAGTGTGGCCACTGCATTGGGCAGTATGGGCAACTGACGCTGTATATCCTCGTTTGACCATTGGAATACTTTAGATTGCATTTGATTATCCATATTTGACTGTGAATTAAAAAAAAATATTTTAAAACGTATTATAAGAAATTTAAATATATATAAAATTAATTAACCGGTTTGACAGGTTGTAACAAAAATATGTATGTTTTAAAATTGTAAATGCAAAAATGGATGGATGTTTGTAACGATCTCCAAAACAGCTTAGCAGTAGTAATGAAATTTAGCTAAGATGTAGAAAATAATCAGGAAGAACACAGACTATTTACTTAGTATTTTTTTTAATAACGCTCCAACGAAATCACGGACAAAAGCTAGTTTTAAATAGAAACTGTAGAATATTTTTTCTTTCTGGTTAAAGGTCGATAGATGGCGCTTTACTATAAAAATCATACCACAGATTAATAAACATTTAAATATTTTTTTAATAGTAAAACAATGGCATTTTCTGCTTATTACCAAAAAGGGTATACCTGTATCGCTAAATCCAAATATTCAATAGGCACAGCACTGGTATTGGTTAATTTGATCGTACATTCAGTACTTTCACCGTTATAGAGAGATACATTTGTAACATTAGTATGACTCTCACTGGAAACATTCAAGTGTCCCGACAAATTCGTCTCTATCAACATCATCGGCAAACTTGGAATTACTTCAATAACGTATGCAGTTGGAAATTTGCTACTTAAAGGTAAATTTTTCAATCTACAATTAGATTTAACTCCCAGCGTATGCGTGGAATATCCCAATATTTGTAATTCGCCCACTTCTTTAGGAGTTCCGTGTAAATTTACTGTTGTCGGTGAATCTGGAGGTAATATTATCGTTTCTGGCAACGATTCGAATACTACCCCAGATGTTAGAAGACGCATATTAGATACTTTCAGTTCAAACGGTAATGGGTTGGTCAATTTCATTTGGACTTCACATATATCATCCTCTACCCATAGATATTCTGAAAATAGAAAAAAACATACATAATTGTAATAAAAATGAATTTATAATCGCCAATTGAAATGATGGCTTCAAAAAATCAATACCGTAAGGTCAAAGGGTCGATTGTAAAGTTACTATATAATTATTTTTTTATATTAACTCTTCATCATAAGGTTATAAGCTTTCAATTCTAATTTGTAAGAGAATTCTGGAATTAAATTTATCCTTCTCTTCCATCATACTAATATTATAAATGCGAAAATTTACATGGATGGATGTTTGTTAGAGTTTGTAGTCTAAACGGCTGAACGGATGTGGATGAAACTTGAACACATGGGATAGTGGCTTTTTTTTCACGTCACGTGCAAAAGCTAGTCATTCAATAAACAATAAAAAAAATATCATAATACTTACCCATTTTCCCTTCTTCTTTCTTAGATTTCCTCTCGAGACTACCGAAATGTATCGGTGTGAAGATAAAAGGTCCCTGTTGTACTTTACACTTGACGGAGTGCGGGGCCCGCGCCGGGGGCAGAGGTCTGGGCGAGAAGCTGAGGCACTGCGGCACTTGGGTCAAGTTAGCTGGCGGTATCACCTCGCCGGTTTCTAGCACCAGCGGAACTGGACCTCCCTCACATTGTGCTGATACCGCCTGTGACCATGATATTACATTATCTAGGTTAAATATTTGTGTTTCCCGTTGAACTTGGGGCTATCGGTCCAACAGGAAACACCCACTTCTATATAATTTAACTCATTAAGCTGTGTTTAACAAAATATAGAAAAACATACGCAATGATTCTGATTATTATTCTGTACTATAAATTAAATTACTACTGATAAAAATTTAAAAACTTAAGTACATTTAAAGCTAATAAAAGCTGATTATGATATGGTTTTCTGTTCAATAGCTGAAGAGTTCACATCTTAAGAACGTATTAGATCGTTTTACTGTCTTTTATTGGGTTTTCAACAGGGTTTAGTATGTTTAGATTGTCTTTTGAAAGGTTTTCTTTGAGTGAGATACTTAGTTATAGTGAAATGTGTTGTGACGTATGTTTGTGTGGTGTGCACTGGCCTGCAGCTGTATGGCGAGGTCGCGGTGGTCGTGCGGCGCGAGGTGCGGCCACATGGTCTGCAGCAGGAAGGTCATGTGGCGCGTGGCCAGCGCGGGGTGGCCCATGCGCCGCGACGCCACCACCACCTCCTGCAGCAGCTGGATCTGCAGCGCCGGCCAACCTACCAACCACCACCTACTTATCAAGTACTAGCTATCGCCCGCGACTCCGTCCGCGTGCAATTAATAAAACAAAAATAAGTAGCCTATGTGTTTTTCCAGACTTTCCTCTTCGTCCATGCCAAATTTCGTCGAGATCCTTTCAGCAGTTTAGGCTACAAAGTCTAACATCAATCCATCTAAACATTCGCATTTATAATATTAGTAAGATAATCCCAACCTCACACTTGGCCAGTACAGTTGGTCAGTAGCGCTCAATAACTGGATTGGCAACTGGTATAATGTGAACACTTACTGGCGACTATTGCCTTACCTGCGAGACTGTCCAACTGTAACGACCAAGTCTGAACGAAAGCAGATGGCACTACTTGTTACTACAAGTGGCGCCATCTACTTTACCTTTTCATTCTTAGTCGTGTATTCAACTAGCATTCATAATCTAAAACATTTAACTTATTAAAACTTTCGTGAGACATTATACTATATAAATTATAACACGGCTAAACTCACGTGATAACATTCGGTGTAGGCACCGACAGTTTCGACGACGGTCACTGAGTGACCTTCGCTACGCGCTAGCGAGTATACCCGATTAATCACTCACCCTGAAGAAGGACCCCCAACGGGTTCGAAACTGTCGGTGCCTACACCGAATGTTATCACGTGAGTTTAGCCGTGTTATAATTTATATAATCTAAAACATGTCTAATTTAATGCTAATCTAGTAGTAACCGACAATTTTAAAAATATAACTAAAATGTCTTTAATCTTGAAAATTTGTCTGATTTGCCACTTTCTAAGAAACTTCAATTATCACAGTTCTATCTGGACATTTAAAATACCATTGAGACAAGGATCAAGCATACATTACTTTAAAACATAAAATAACACATTTTTTCATATAAAAGTGAACACACCGGGCAAGTTAGTAGCAACGAAGGTGTTATGTGACCTTGTGGGAGCTTTAATCGCAATGTTTCTATAAATTACCAATCTGATGCTGCTGGAGATGGCCGGGGTCCAGACTGAGCATGTGTCCGGGGAAGCTGTGCAGCATGAGGTAGTAGCAGCGCTGCCAGTCGGGGTTGGGGTTGTTGGCGCTCACCTGCCGCGTTGCTGCCAGGCGCTGGTAGAACGCAGCTTTGCGTAGGAAACCTGAACGCGGTATTAAATGGTAGAAAACTCATAACCATCAGTAGAAGCAGTGGAGAGGAAGCTTCGTCAGATCTGGACCTAGCCTAGGTCATGGACTGCTTACGATGTTAACTAATTTAAGGAATCCTAGGTCTAAATATAAACTAATATTATAAAGAGGATAGATTCGTATTTTTATCTGTAATGAATAAACACAAAAATTAATAAACCAATATCAAAAATTCTTTTGCAATTATAAATCTACAGTATCACTGAGTAACATAGTCTACATTTATTATTAGATTATGTTTTTAAATTCGCCGGTATAGTTAACTTATGAAAGAAACTTGCAACAAAATAAATATTTAGCATTTTTCAAAAACTCAATATTCCCCTATACCTGAAATAAGGTAAATAAAAAAGATTTTACAAACAATATCCAAGTAGAAAGTACTAGATTCAAATAAATTAGGAAATGGTATTTATTCAAATTTGTACTGAAACATACCTATTTCCTTGTAAATTTCCGCAAGTGTATCGAATCTTTGAATCTTCTCCTGTTCACTGAGCGTCAGATTAATAAATATTACATTCTGTAGAAAACTAGATGTTAACAAAGTGTTATTCTGTTCTACAGCAATCCTCGCTGCTTTAAAACACGCTTCAGTTTCAATAATACCAGCATTTTGATATTTACTATAATGTATTATAGCTTTCCGATACTTCTCAGCAATATCTTCTCCATTTAGAAGATATTGGTTATTAACCTGTCTAGGTATTGAAGGTATATCCATAGTTATGTACGATTTCTGACTTTGGTATTCAATATCACTGGAGGAAGCTAAAGATTCCGTATCCGCATTATCAGTTTCTGATTGTCTCGATGAAGTTTCAACACTATCGGAGGAAGATGGAGTTAATTCACTGGGTGGGTTTATCGGACTGGATGTTTTCGATGATCTTAACGGTGATGAGGTAAGCTTGTATTTCCTGAACGAATCAATACTCGGTTGGAATAATGATAAGGGCTTCTTATTAGGTGAACTCTCTTGAAGGCTTGCGTTTCGATGTAAAGGCATTGTTGTACGTAAATTCGGGTAAATGAGGATAGCAGAGGCAGCACAATGTCCTAAAAGAAAGAAAACATTTTGTTAACATTACTTAAAAATATGAGGATAGGATTTAATAAAAAAATTAGTAAAAAGCATAGTCTAGTTGTTAGTAATTTGGTTAAAACTTAAATTCACTTAATTAGTAAGAATAGGTGGTAAATCATAAACTTACCTTCTTTTGCAGCAGCCAGCCATAACCAATCATTAACAGCCTTTAATATCTCCGCAGCTGAATGATACAAACTTAAACTTTCAGCTACTAGTCCAGATTGCAATGTTAAATCAGCTAAGTTTTTGGTCACTCTGCCCATACAACGCTTTTTGTTATTACGTGAATCCATGTCTAGACCTTCAATGGCAAATATTTTATTAAAAAAATCACTTATATTAATTAAAAAACACACTAAAAGAATTTAAAGCAACTCATATAAGTGAGCAATAATAATGCTAAATTTAATACATACCTATAAAATCCCTTTTCTCAAATGGTGCTAAAAGTAATGACACTTTGTCAAGTTTTTCACGAGATCTCTCCAATCTTTTAGACTCAACTACCCAAAATAGTGAGTTAATGAGATCAGCTACATTCTGTTCTAAGTCCGACACTGGTTCATTCTCTCCATAGAACATTGCATGGGTTTTAAAATTAGATGGTATTGTGAAATTTTCTTCCTGAACTACACAAGAAGCACTGGATGATGTTGATTGTGCATAACTATCATTTGATGATAGACTGTCTCCTGGCTCACTTGTTGGTCTGAAATTATAAAAAAGATTACAATAACAAAACATATTATTTAATTTTCATAAATTCAGAAATACAATTGCTTTTTTATTATACATTTATAGAACAAATACATTTCTGCAATGCTTTTTATCATGCAATGTTTAAAGCACTAGGTGAATAAAACAAGAGTGCTCTTAAAGTGTTGATCCCTCAAGCGGCCCACGGCGCGTTTTAACTTGTTAACTCATGAAAAAGAATACATTTGAAAAAAATTATTCAAGAAACAATGGCGACAGTTTGTTTTTTTACAAGTGTTTGGACAGCAGAAACTTACTAATAAAAAAGATTGTTCTCTATCTTACTTATAATTCAAGCTGTTCTTATCTTCTGTCTGTTTGTCTTCATACACACTATAAGTCTCTGGTTCTTGTTCTGGTTTCTTCAAATTACTGCCAGGACCAAACATGAAAGCTCGAGAGTCATACAATGTGTTAGAATATTTAACTTTTAGAGACTCATGGACTCTGCATACTTCATTTAACTCTATTTGGTTTGTAAACTTACTTAGAGTTATCAAACCCAGCAACCGTCTGAAAAAATCAGTTATAAATGTATTCATGTAAAAATCAACTGATACTTTAATATAGATAATATGTTATCTTATTAACATTCAAAGTGACTGTTTATAGAAGTAATAATACTTGTTATTTATATAATGTGCAAACATTTTTACAACAAATTACATGTATTTGAACTTTCATAAGACATCAAAAATGAATAAGGACAGCTTAACACTTATGACTCATTATTAATTATACTGTAAAATTAATACTAGCAGTTACCTATGAGTCTGAAAATCTCCCCAATCATTGTTTTCCACAGGGTAATCCCTGACATATCTAACCCAAATATCTCTCACTTGTCCAGTGGAATCTATAAAGTAGAAATACACAATTAAAAAAATTATTCAATTGATTTCTACTTCATGATCAAGAACAAGAATAGTTATAATCGCTCAAGAATAGAACATAACTTAAGAAAGAAAAATATGTATATATAATATATTAGAATTATATACTGAATGTATCACTATTTCGTGAATTTATGTAAACGTACCAGTAACCTTAATGTTGTTGACCCGCTGTATCCGCTCCCACAACTTATTAAAATTCTTGAGGACGCCCCCAATACCTTTGACCAACACCAAAAGGCAGGCGTGGTGTTGGGCATGTTGCGCGTAGTCAGGATGCGACATTACCGACTCTCCAGGCGCGTGAGATAATATATAGCTCAAGGATGATCGCATTGATATCTCATTAGATCAATATGAAAGTAAAATATTTTTTCTATTCACTTTCTTGCCAGTTTCACCACTTACGACTTTCAACATTGAGTAGGACATATGTTTCTTGAAACATTCAGCAAACTACTTTTTGCTAAACAGCTAACAGTTCAGTTATTATATTAAATTACTACGTCCATTAAAATTTAAATCAAATTACACTTTGGAATCTAAAAATCACAATTTGACGTTATTGATTGTTTTGGTTAATTTTCTGACATTAAAGATGACGTTTTGACATTGAAGGGGAAGATTATAAAATTATAAAACTTGTGAATGTGCAAATAAAAATTGCTACAATCACAATTTTATAACAATTATTTGTAAAAATGCGAAAAACTACAGAACCCAAATTAAGTAAAACTAAAGCCAAGAAAGCGAAATTGAGAAAAAGTTAATTTCAGAACGTTTGAGAAAGTTAAATGTCATTGTTCTTTGACAGTTGATTGAACCGAAATAACCTAAAAAAACAAACAACTTTGAAAGAATCGCGTTCATTGTTTTAAGGAATTATTGAATTCATTTATTATTTATGATAATTGGGTTGAGGAATATTTCTTTTCTACCCAAGATTTGTTAACAATATGGCTTCCAAAGAAGGAGGAGAGAAAACTAAAGTAAGTAAAAATTTGTCACTAAGATATCGTTGAATTTTTTACATTGACACTTTTGTATGTATATCTTTTCAGAATGCTCAAGGGACTGGGGATAATAAAGAGAAGCGAAGGAAGGAATCTATATTGGACTTGAGTAAATACTTGGAGAAAAGTATACGAGTTAAGTTCGCCGGCGGTCGTGAAGCCGCGGGTATTTTGAAAGGTTATGATCCGTTGCTAAACCTTGTTCTCGACAATACAACAGAATTTTTAAGAGGTACGAGTTTCATATAACTTTCTTGTACTTTTAGACGACTTATAGAAGCCAATTTTTATTGGGAAAAGAAAAGTAAGTTATCTGTTGTTCATTATTCAATGTTTTTAGACCCAGACGACCCATACAAACTACTAGATGACACAAGAGCTCTTGGATTGGTTGTATGCCGTGGAACATCAGTTGTATTAATATGTCCTATGGATGGTATGGAAGCCATACCAAACCCATTTATAACTCAGGAAGGTTGAACATAGTGTTTATTGTATTTAACATAAGGATTTAAAATAAGTAATAAATAAGAATTCTTTATATTTAAAATTATTTTATTACAAAAAAATATTGCACTTCATTTAGATTATAATTACTTATTAATAGGTAGAAATAATCTGTGTTCATACAACTTTGACCTTAATAAAGCTGCCTTTCAATACCATACAGCAATATGAAGAAAATGAGTCTATGAAAAGTTATTACAATCTCACATTGTTTTTATTACTATACTTGCACAATAACATGACACTTGAATCATCTCATGACATCACTAGTGTTTTTATTTTAGAGACAAGGGCTTCCATGAAGTGTGGAGTAAAGAGTATAATTATTCCATACATAAAATATTAAATTGTAACCTTAAAAGACTGACTTAAATATGGTAACTTTAATTTAGATATAATTTTTTTTTAATCAAATCCAAATTCATTTCTGATCCAAGGATAGCTTTTAGGACAATCTACACATGTTATCATATATTTGTCATGTTCTAAAACTTTTGAAGGTAGTTTGCATGTCCTAGGTTTGCTGCACGCTATCTCATTATCATGGAAACGACGATCTTTGCATTGCCATGGTTGGAATTTCTTTAATTGAAGTACTGGTGTTGGTCGTTTCATCCAATCAATTACTTCTTTATATGATACAAAGTAGACATCCGGTAGTCTTAAAAGTTCTATAATAAATCTCTGAAATAAGAAAATAAAAATGTAAGAAATCTTATTCAATGTATGGAGAAAGATTTTACAAAGAACTTGCTTAATGCTAAGATAATGTTTAGGGCCTAAGAAATAAATATTGATAAAAGCAAATGAATAATAACAATAGCAACTCAATGATGGCCTAGGCAGTTGTTTATATTTTATTTACATACAAAATAAAAAAATATACAAATATATACTATAAAAATTCCTTTTTTTACCTTCAAAGCAGCAAGGTAATGGCTATTTCGTAGCCAAGTGCCACTCAAATGTATACCAAATGGAGCTCTATTTTTTAAATAATGCCTTTTGAAGTTGTTTAATAAGATACCATATATGTCATCACCAGTCAGTGTGAAATGGCAATGCTCCGGAGTGGCGTATGAATTATTCTTGCCATCTGTTAGAGAATTTATAACCATCTGCCAAAGTCCTGCATAACTTCTAGTTGGGCAATATTGATGTTTTTCTGTAAATAAACATAATAGTAAATAACAATTGTACTAGTACTTTCTAAAAATGAATTGCTCAGTTTATTATGTAAATTGAAATTACGTAAGTGTTACAAGTCGGGGGATTTCAGATTACATTTTTTAACAACTGATATTGTAAATAGTAGACCATTGTTTGGTTTTTAATTTAGGTGTCCTGGTAAGAGAGAGATCTAGATTTTGTCGGTTATTTAGTATTTAAAACAAGTATATAATAGAGGCATATAAATTCTCAAGAGTGCGATGCTTTCATCATGGGTTTGTATTATTTATTGCTTGAACAAGGAAGTATTTAGTAAGTACACAGGTCGACATTTAAACGATGGTAAATGTTACCTGTACATTCGTGCGGCATTTTGTAATCGTGTGTGTAGGGCCAGTACGGCGGGTCGGAGGGGGGCGCCACTATCGTCGCGTCGTATACGAAACCGAACTCTTGCATCATGACGTACTGTCGATTCCATCCGACTGATAGATAGGGTACACGAAGACCTCTGTACGAACACACAAGAGTACATCTATATGTATATACTATTACTACTATAATATAAAGAGGAAAGATTTTTATTTTTGGATTTTTGTACGTATTGAAATTAGTCAAAAACTACTGAGGCGATTTCAAAAATTCTTTCACCATTAAAAAGTTACGTTATTGCTGATTAACATAGGCTTTATTATTTTTTTTAATATCATGCGAAGTCGCAAGCAACAGCTAGTAGATTATAATAAAAAAACAACTAAACAACAATCGCCTTTAAAATGTTAAAAATACCTGAAATCCTCCATCCATACTTTTCCAAACCTATTGATTATGTTTGCTTGACCAACCATTTCGTCGAACCAATCTTCAACAGTAGCGTTCCTTGACCACCATTCTTCAGGACCACGGTGTCTGTAATTATTAAATATTATATAAGCGTTAGGTTTTTCTTTAATCTTAGTTAGGTAAAGGGGGATTTCTGGCGTTAGGTTAGCTAAGCTAAGCTAGTATATTAAAAAAGGGGTGCTTTAGAAATCGCGCTTAGGGCGCTGATAAGACTAAAACCGGCACTGATTACGACGTTCAGATTTTATAATAATTATTTAGGACCTTCCTAAGCGTAGATTGTGTTAAAGAAACCATCTAAAGGATGTAGATTTAACCAAGATATCACTGAATATGGCAGTTCCTGTAAAAATAGATGGCTTACGTTATCGAATGTACCGCAATTTCATGTCCATCGTTCCACAATTTCTGCACATGTCTATAGTTGGTGTAAGGGTGCGAGACAAAGAATGTCGCTTTGATGGGACAGCCGTTGGGATTTTTTCGATCAGATGTAAACAAATGTTTGTTGTAAATATCCCAGTTTTCGTGATTCACCGCTCCATTGAATGTGAGTGTAATCATTTGTGGGGTCTGCAAAGAATAACTTGTTTAAAACATTTATTAAAATAAAAAATAGAATCTCTTCTGATCATAACTGATCTTTGCTGTGTCTAAAAATTACGATTCGTTAAATATCGGTTAAGTGAACTTTCATACGGAACAAACAAGCTCGTTTTCACCAAATACTAGCCCCAGGCAGTTATGTAATGGTGCTATGTATTTGTAATTATGAGGCAGCAAAAGTTGCGACTCATTATTGGTAACAAGAATTTCTTAAAAACCGTTATGAAAATATCTTTAACTTCTTCACTGTATTGAAATAACTCAAAAACTACCGGGCCGATTTAAAAATTTCTTTCACCGTTAGAAAGGTAATTTATCTGTGATTGAATAGGCTATATTTTTATTTTTTCGTGGGCGTAGTCGTGGTCAACAGCTAGTATTTAGTAAACACGCGCCGTAGGAATTTCTGTAAATAATGTCTCTGTTATTTAATATATTTTTATTTATAAATTGAAACTTAAACAACGGTATGTAGAGCGTAAAAGGGAGTACGATCGATTAATATATCTACGAATGTCTCGGCGGTGGAAACGAAACTGCAACAAGGCATAGGATGATTGAAATAGCACATGTTTGTATAATATAAGGTAATTAGGTAAGTATTGTGCAGCAAAACGGAAGAGCGTAAAATCACGCGATGAATTTGCTCGAGTGAGTTACATTACCTGATTAGGTACGAGATTTCCTGGTATTTCTTTGCCGGTTTTCGTGCAGAAACATTCTGGCAACAGGCACATGTTGGGATCGCATGGTTCCGATGAATTTGGATCGTTTTTGACGTCACACCATGCCTAAAATAAAACGTATAAAATGTTAATGTAGACGTTAAAAAAAATTGACACCAGGACCGTCGTAAAGCCTTATTTTGCAAGGTTTCGCTTATTAGACTGATAGAGGCTCAGATACCTTGAAAATGACGTCACTGTCTGATAAGGTAATAAAATCTGATATTTTACACGTTGGGTTGTTATCAGACAAATTACAATTTGGTGGGACAGACCCTAAATGTTTCAAAATATTTATATAACGTCCGTTACGATGAATAATCCCTTTTAAACCGTGAAAGTTTTTTACAAGTATTAGTTGTATTATCATTAGAAATCTCGTCATGTTTCGCTTACGATGCAACAAGTGACGACAACTTAGAGATGGCATAGATGCAACTGCTACTGTTGCACAACACCACTGTTAAAGTCATTCTAATTCACTGAGAATAATTTCGTTCGATAGTCTTGTTTCCATTGTCAAAACACTTTATCGCTATCTTTGTTTTTTGAAGCAGTATGAAAAGGACGACACTAATATAACTAAAATACTTTTTTTTATGACATAATCATAAAGAAAGTTATGAGAATTCAAAATGGCGGTTTTGTTTACATTGAGATACTTTTTAAAACAATGGCAAATTAAGTAGTTAAAAATGTTAGCAATTTCTATATAGTAAGTAAATAATTGTTATTTAGTTTAAACACATATTCATAATTAAATACTTCGTCAGATAAATCATCGCAGTCAAATGATCCGTCGCAGAAGAATTCCGCCGGCAAACAGCGACCGTCTGCGCAGCCCAGGTGTGTTTCATTTGCACACATCGCATGTTCCAGAAGCGGCTGTGGCAAGACTATTTCTAAAAAAAATGTTATTAAGTTTAAAAAGTACAATAATAATAAAAACTCAAGTGAGTGAATGCGTTTTTATAATACATAATCACGATTAAAAAAGGGATAAATTGGCTGGTAGTGATTACTGATTATTAACAGTACCAACTCACAATCTTAGATAGTTTATTCAGCGTTACCAACATCTACTAGTCAATCAGCTGACCATAGCTGTATACTAAAATGCATAAAATGAAACACGTAATGTTGCATTACAAACTCATTAAACATATTGTCAGTGGTCGGATAGTTTATTTGCGCAATTTCTCGCCAAGTTAACCCTTTACACTTTCCGATGGGATACTTAGTAAAATTTTAATTAGTATTATAGTAATGTATACATAGAGCGAAGTAGAGACGATTGACAAACAAAGCTGACCCCATTACCATTTGAAATATAGGCTAGGAAGAGAAAAAGAGAATAATGTATAGAATTTTTTATTACCTTTTGTGACATCACAATTATGGACATTTTGATATTTATCGCACAGTTGTCGGTTGACGTCAAAAAGTCGCCCTTCCGAACATTTAAATTCGAACACCTCACCCTCTACACAAAGGTAGTACTTGGCGCATTCGTTTTTGGTCCATAGTATGTCTTCGGATCTGTCTGGATTCCTTCAAACAAAGCATTATCTTGTACAAAGTTAATATTGCATTTTCTTAATGCTGTAATTTACATGTTTAACTTGTGTCCCTGTGGTTAAAAAATTCCATAGTCCCATTTAGATTACATAATCTTACTTTTCTGGTGATATCGATACTAACTAAAGTTTAAAAAATATGAAAAAGGATAGATTAGATACAGGACCTTAATATTCTATGTGAATTTAGCACTATCGATCATGTAACAACTACTAAAAGAAACTGATTTGTCAAATAGCCAAGTTCTAGCTCTCACAGGTGCATGGTGTGTTGCTGTGGCGAAAGTGAATTTCACAAGATGACGCAGGAAGTTGTAATAACGTAAAACACAATGGTAAACCGGACGGTCGCCAATCGTGCTACCACAAGCCATTCAGCGCTGTCAAGGTTGTGGCGAAAGTATTGTGGGGTCAACAACCTTATAGCAACTACTATTCTATTCTATTTATTTTCATCAATGATGCGTTAATCGCGTGAAGGAAGTGCATGATCGTGTTATATAACAAGAAATAACATGATATCAGTTTGTTTGTAATTTCATATGTGTATTTCTTTCATTTTTCTGATAAAAACAAACTAACTCGTTTAAAGACACGTCGCTGTATACTGGCTGGTTTGAATTTTTTTTTATAAAAAAGTTTTGAAATTGCAAAAAGGTTTACTTCGATTACGCGGGATACGTAGCTCACGGAATAGTTGATCGTAATGATAAATAAATTAAAATGTTTTATATACAACGTTAACAATTATTTTATACTATGCTGACTAAGAACTTACGTGTAGTAACAATTTTATTTTTTGTTTAAAAAAACGTCAACTAATGTATAAATAAACTGCACTAAAACTTAAGTAGTAGTTGAAATAATTACATTAGATTTTATCTATTAATAATTACTAATTTAAAGTTATTTCCGAAACACTCGTCGTCACACTCATTCTTCTTAAAAAAAGTGAGACAACAATATGTTTTTGCACGGCTACTTCGACAGTGGAAAGTCTGTTACTTTATCTATTTTGTAAACCTTAACAATTAAGAATGTCAATAGGCGTCATCAGCTCTGCCCCGCTTAGTGTGTTACTCTGGATTCAAGAGTTCAATGATGGGTTAGTTATCTAAGTAAGTAAGATAAGTCTTATGACTTATCTTGCTTACACTTGATAGGTTTTTGTAAATAAAAAAAAGAACCTATGTTCTGTACGTTGGGAAGTTGAACGGCTAACCAAAAATCTTCTTATGAGATAAGAAATATGTTATTTAAGTAAAGTAATCATCGCAAAAATTAGCGCATGAACACATTTAATTATCTTTACTAATGTCATTACGAGGAAAGATTGAAATGTTTGTTTTATTGAGCTTTGAAACCGATTTCATTAAATTGGCGCGGTTGACGCGGGCAAAAGCTAGTTAAAAATAATGGCAAGTACGTTTAAAATACAGAATAAAAAATGAAACATTAAAAAAATATAATAAAAAAGAGGCAAACCTGTAAAATCTTCCGTTTTCAATACATTTTGTTTGATTTAAACTTGTGTGCACCACTTCCTTACCTCGCACTTCTGTAATAAATATTTTTTCGTTTTAAAAAAATACGCACTTTCACAGTAACCAATAAATATAATTTAAAAAGCAAAAGCGCGCGGATTGTTACTTTTTATTAAAATATATACAAACTTAATTTTACCTAGAATGGATAGAAAAGTAAAGCACAAGACGGCTAGCATAAACAACCTAACCATGTTGTGCGTTTGGTTTCCGTCAAAACACTGATACTCGATGCTACACAAGATACTCCAGCGAACCGCTCGTTCATCGCCGGACACTGGCCACTTTCTTTTGCTCGGAAGTGATATAATTAGTACTTACTTCATAGCTTTTTAATTTACGTCTATGCGCCGCTTGTATATCTCAGCACGTACCTATCCCTTGTAATGGCTCCAATTTTGATGTGGATGATTGAAATAAACGTTTACTCATGTTTCTATGACACTAGTATAGGACGCTGCTAAAGTTATTTGTTTGTTATGCTATATCTACGATCGTTTAGTAGATTCCTAAAAGTAAGAAAGCTTAAGAGAGCTTTAAGAATTTTAATCAAATTGTGAACCTCCTTTTTGATGTCGGATAAATATATCTAATACTGACGTCTTTTTATCACAGTTAGAGGAAATTATGGGTTCTAACGCAATGGGATTGTAAATACTTTTATGGTACCCACATATCTGGGATCAAACTTGAGATTGATGGCAGGGTAAGAAGTAGACTAACCGTTAATCTACATAGTCAAACTATGATAAATGTTATGTTAAATGTTTTTTATAGCTATGTTATAGATGTAAATTAGTTGTATTTATTCCTGAAAAGGTAATATCAAAATATTACGATACATTATTTATTTAAAAAATATACATTTGTGCATAACTACGACAACCAAGCTGCACGACGTTTGACGACTCTACCAATTAGTCATCTGTGAAAATGATAACCGATTACCGGCTGTCAATGTCAATGTAAATATCAATAAATGTTACCGTATCATCTAGTTTCTTTAAAAACTATTGAATTATTTTAGATATAGTTAATAAAAATGAAGCGCACAATAACAGTTGTTCTATTGGCAATCTTGTTTAACTTTTGCTTGAGTACTTTATCTCCACCTTCAGATAAAAAGACACAAAAGAATATTAAACCGCAGGAAGGCGCTAGGAAAACTAATGTACAAGATCGTAAATTAGTGATTGAAAATGCTTACGTGAAAGATATTCTAAAATATCATGCAACATACCATCAAGATGTTTCATTCAGGAACTTTAAAAACCCGGTATTGGGTTATGTGACGCCCGTAAGTTCATTGATTTTTACGTGTATAGGTTTTTAATTATTTTTAGCCGTAGTCGGAGACTTATATTAATATTTAGTAAATTGCTCTATACTAAAGTAATAATACTGTTTTAGTGGAATAACAAAGGCTATGATGTTGCAAAGACATGGGCTCCTAAATTCAACTACATCTGTCCTGTTTGGTTGCAAGTTAAGAGGCAATCCCCTAGTATTTACATTATATCTGGAATACATGATGTTGATCACGCATGGATGAAGTCTGTAAGACAAAAAGGTTCACAGAGTAACTTAAAAAGTATGTATTCAGAGATTAATTAAGATCAAACACTACACATTTAGCATTCTATTGTTTGTTTGTCCTCTCGTCAAATATAAGCAAAGAAGATAGACTTGTTTACCATCACTTTCACTTATAATTCTTAATTAGATTTGGAAGGTTTTATTATTATTATAAATATTCATTTACAATTATTTGGGCCTCAGGTCTTAGTTCTATTGATAACTGGAGTTTAATATATTTTTCTAGTTCTTCCAAGACTGCTGTTTGAAAATTGGCAGCCAACAGATCTGAAGGCTTTTTTTACGGAGCCCACAGCACATGCAGAGCAACAAGCGCTAATTAATGAAATAAAAAAAGCCTGCAAACAGTGGAAGTTTGATGGAATTGTTCTGGAGATTTTCTCTCAAATTGGAAAGTACATTGAGAAATCTGTCGAATTCATTCAGAAGTTTGGTAAGTTTTTTTCATGATTAAAGTATATATTGTATATAATAAATGGTGTATTAATGAAAATATTTTAAATCTTAATCTTCATAAAACCTTGTAAGACTTTCCGATGATTGGAATAAGTCCAGAAGGATGATCTAAAACATTTAAATTTAATTTTAATTGTTAATCCCTAAAAACAAATATTTTATAAATTAAATAATTGTTAATATTAAATAATAAGAGTTATATATTTTTTTCAGGTTTAGCGATGGATGAAAATGATTTTAAGCTTATCTTAGTTTATCCTCCGTTCCGTGGTTACCCTAGTGATGACTTCTTAGTGCAAGCGTTCAATGAAATATATCCTTATGTGGAAGCTGTGTCAGTTATGACTTACGACTATTCTAATCCACAGAAACCAGGTAAGTCAATTATCAATTAAATTAATACCATCTTAATACTTTTTTTTATTCCAAATCAAGTGTTAGGTTTGGTTTCAAAGGTAGTATCAGACTTAATCCTTGAATTAAGATAAATAAATAAATAAATTTTTATCTTTATTGCAACATTATACTTACTGTTAGGAACAAAATTAGTACCGTGCTGTAGAGTTGGCGCAACTCTAGATTATCGGCATAAACGTCACGTCCCTAGCTGACAGCTGTCAATGTCACTAGAAGTATGGATAGATTGGCGCGTAACTTGAGTCTTGACGAGAAGTATTGCTCTGAGTTAAAAGCGACAATATCAATTAAATAAGTTGTCTAAAATTACATAGTATGTTTTAATATGAAATTGAATTGGTTTAAGACACATTTACATTGTTGAAAACTCATTACTTAAATTTAAGGATTGTTTTAATTTTTCATTCATTTGTATACTTTTTGATGTATATTTCAGGTCCAAACGCACCATTGACTTGGATAAGATTATGTGTTGAAAAACTAATGAATAATGAAGATAGTTCGGAGAAGAAATCAAAAATTCTGTTAGGATTGAACTTCTATGGGAATGCTTACACTGTTAATGGTGGAGGTCCCATTGTTGGCACAGAATATATCGATCTATTAAAACATGCCAGGAATAATCAAGCACTTACTTACAATAATAAGACTGGAGAGAATTACATTGAAGTTAGGTGAGTTTATTTGGTACTTGATTTCATAGATTTAAGCTATGATTCCGCCCGCGTTGAATTAAAAAATTAATTAAAAAAAAGCCAATGTTACTAGCCAATATTGTAGCTTTTTTATGCTGAAAGAATTTTTGAAATAGGCCCAGTAGTTTTTGATTTATTTCAGTACATAAAAAAATCCCAATCTTTATCATATTAGTATTCATACTAATTTTCGCCCGTAAGTCCATCCAAAAAAAATGAAAATAAAAAGCATGCAGTCTGTCTGCCAGGATTTGCTCTATATCAATGCCAAGTTTGATAAAGATGCATACACTTTAGGCAACAGACTGTAATGAACATCCACCCAAACTTTTGTGTTTTTAATATAAATAAATAAATAATAAAATTAAGACAAAATTCTATCACACAATAACATCAATATAATAGAGGTAAATATGCAGTAAAAAGAACTAAAGAGCTTTTAAAATGTCATGTTTTCAGGACTCCACAAGGCGCGAAAAAGATTTTCTACCCGTCTCTTTACTCCATCCACAAGAGGTTAGAACTCGCACACATGTATGGAACTGGAGTTGCCATATGGGAATTAGGACAAGGTCTTGATTACTTCTATGACTTATTTTAATCAATTATTATACTAAGTCAATTATTTAACTATATAATTAACAAATATTTAAAACATTCACAAATCTCATGTGAAATAAATATTGTAATAATAGTAGGCAAATAAACTTGAGATGTTAGTTTCCTAGATGTGCCATTTTTAACACTTTCAGTGCTATAGTTAGTACACTTTCATACGAAAACAATGTCGTGGCATTGAATGTGTTATGATCAGCATTTTTCACTTTTAATGTTTTTCGAAATCCTATAACAACTATGTATTACTTATACAATTAATTTTAAAAATTATACTAAAGAATAGAATAAAAATCTCAATAAGTGTATATGTTTTATTCTTCATTCAAAATTAACAAACATTTAATTCAGTCTTTACATGTTAACAACGTAATAACGTAGAACTATAATAGCTACGTTAAAAACATACAGATAAAAAATCTGGACTAAATACCAGTAAATTGGTTTTAAACATATTTCCATCTTTGTCATTCTCTTTGGAAAAAATGGAGATAACAATTTTACACATTTGTGTCTAAACTTTGAAAAGTTTAAGATTTAAGATGGATTATTTTAAGCCAGATTTGGTTTCTTCTTCAAATCCATCATTGACTGAGGTCCTTTCATGACGCGATGCATCAGGTCCCAGCACATTTTAGCTGGCAACAAACTGGAATACAGATAAAACATTACCTTTTTTTGTTATGGTAATTAAATTAATAATAAGGCGGCAATAAGTTATTATATATTTTCATCGGAATTTCTATTTCTTCGTAAGATGATGTGACGTAACTAGTATATTGTTATGCATAAGCAAAAGTATAACAAGAAACATTTAAGTTTTCGCATAATACGTGTTGTCTGCCTGTTGAATAAAATATTTATGACCCCTAGATAAAACAACATTCGATTAGCAATATCGCTGATCGAAAAGTCAAAAATATATGGAACGAACAATAACTTTTAGCATGTCATGTATTTATTCTCAAATATATTGACACATTTTGTTCATTTTACTAGCGATATCTAATAGAAAGTCACTTTGTCTTGGAGTGCAGGTATGGTGGAATAAGAGATAAATTGAATGTAATCACGATACTAGCACCATTAATGCAACACTAGCGTTATTAATGTAACACCAGCGCCATTAATGCAATACTAGCGCCCTTAATGCAACACTAGCGCCATTAATGCAACACTAGCGCCATTAATGCAACACTAGCGCCATTAATGCAACACTAGCGCCATTAATGCAACACTAGCGCCATTCGACAACAAAGAAGCGTCTTGATCAAAAACTTCTACTTACCACTTAAGCGGTAGTAGATATCTAACGGAGCCGGGCATCACGCAGTTGACTTCGTTCTTCCTGATGGAGTCTATCATAGTCTCGGCCACGTAGTCGGGCTCCAGCATCGGCATGAGGCGCGGCGTCACGCCGTCGAACATACCAGTGTTGATGTAGTACGGACAAACAAGCGTAGCGTAAATCGTATTGTGGCCGTGAGCCTAAAACAGATTATTTTAGCGAATTAACGACTTTACTTCGACAGATAAAGGTTACAATTAATTGTGTATATTTGCTCCTTGATTTTATAAGTTGGTATCTATGACTTACCCTTAGCTCTGTGAATAAGCTCTCGTGGAAGCCGACGGTAGCAAACTTAGTAGCACTATAGTCGGTGCAGCGGTAAGTACCGAGCAGGCCGGCCACCGAGCCCACAGTCACTATGTGCCCTTTCCCTGACTTAATCATGTCGGGCAAGAATGCTTTTACTGTCTGAAATCAAGGAAATATGAAATATTTCTAAGGTAAGTGTGCGAATTTTGAATAAAATTTAAGCTAGTTGAAAATGAACGTAGAAAAAGATACACAATAAACTCCCCACTTACACACGCACTTATACGCGTTAAGAGCGCTCATTTTGGTGATCAGGAAAAAGTTTCAGTAAAAAAATGAAACCTACACGTTACATGTAATAAGAAAATTTAGTGGCAACTTACCCAATAATGGGAGAGTATGTTGACTTTGTATGTGGTCTCTATGGCAACATCGCTCAGTTCCAGTAAGGTTTCTCCAAACACCGTGCCAGCATTGTTGATAAGCATGTCCACTTTTCCCACCTTTAAAGAAATATACATATCGATCAGTCGGTATGAGTTTAGATAGAACGTTGTCGATGACTGGAGAGGTCGCCACCTCTATTGTACTTCTGCCTATTCTCAGAAATAGCTTGCATAACAGATATTTTTCTCATATGCTAAGAAACATAACGTTGCTGTAAACTAGCTTCGTAGATTTTCATACAACAAAATACGATACTTTCGCGTCGGAATACGCATGAGTTTTTATGTTTGTGAATTACCTTCGGCAACACTTATTATAAAGTAAGGTTATCGCCCAAATGATTTATATGATTCGAGGCAAAGGAAGTAACAAATGTACTTTCCGCTTAAAAAAACAGGAACATTAATTTTCTTCGACACAAGGTTGTAAAGGAATTTATGAAGTCATTTACAAGTCAAGTACGTTTGGCTTAAATGTTTAAGGATATGTAAATAACATTTTTTCTCTGTTTTAGAGCAGAGCTAATTACAGCAAACAGCTACAATAATATAACTTCTATAAAAATGTTGCCATAGTAGCGCTATTTTGTTTCCTAATTTATTACTATAGGAGAATTGTGACAAGCGATCATTTTCAAGCTACCTACATAATTGACGATTTCCTGCATGCAAGTTGTGTTAAACGTATTTAAGTTACGTAAATGTTTTTCTTGAACGTTTGCCTACAAGTTTGTGAACGATATTAGAGGAATAGCAATTTTTAAAATGTCACAGGTAATGTATCAAGAAATAGTGCATTTAATGTAGATATGTAAATTAAGGGATGATTACTAACCTCTTTCTTTACTTTTTCAGCAGTGGTATAAACTGAAATCTTGTCTGCGAGATCCACGATGTAACTTGCTACTTCATAACCCTCTTCGGTAAGTGCGTCGCAAGTCTTCTGTAGAGCTGATAAAAATAGACGTGATTGGTAAATATTTAAAACTAAATCCATATAAGTATACATTAACTAAGTTTATTATTAATGAAATATATCTATTTTTGCTTATATAATTAGTAGTAGAAAACATACCTTCTTTGTTGATATCCCATGCTACAACTTTGGCTCCAAGACGTGCCAATTTGATTGACAAATGTCGGCCAACTCCGCCTCCCGCGCCGGTTACCACGACCACGTCCCCCTTTAGACTCTTCATTGGCCTTATAGCATTAGGCATTAAAGTCCAGAAGAGTGATTCCAAGATATAGTAACAGGATAGCAACAGAAACAGTACTGTATCCTTCGCAATATCGAATACTCTCGACATTTGCGAAGGTGTATGTATCTTTGTCGACTCCAACATGATTGCCTGAAATTAAACAATAACTTTTAATACACAGAAATTTAAACAAAGAACTAATTAGCCTTGTAATATAGAGGTAGTTAGGATTTGAGTGTTCCAAAACTCTCTAAAAAACCTATAAAACCAAATTAAAAATATTTTCTTGCAATGTAATATAATACATTTATCATGAAAAAACGGTTCCGCTACAGTCAGTGTGTGAAAAATAAAAAATATCACAAAAAAAAACGACAAAAACAATTTCCATGTAGAAGTTTTTTGTGCTTTGATGCAATTCAAATTCGGTTGACGTAATTGTTGATTGTAAACGGATGAATTTTATAAAACTGGAATTATTAGTTGTGAATTAAGAAATAAACGAATAAGGCGGGAAAATATTTTAAGAGGATTTTCCTTATTTGACAATCAAGTGATGTTTGATATTGCTTTAGACTGAGAATTTTATTACCAACTTGCTGTATTTACGCTTTATTGAAGTTATAAATAGTGAGCCCTTTTACAAAGGTAAGGTCGCCCAGTTTCTAGTTCGATCTGGAAACAAAATTATTTAATTATACCAGAAGCGTTATTCGATATAACCACTTTAGTCTCAAAATGTTTTGTGACTAGCTTTCGCCCGCGACTCCGTCCGCGTGGAATTAGAAAGGAACAAGAAAAAGTGAGTAGCCTATATGTTCTTCCAGACTATCCTCTACATCTATACCAAATTTCATCGAGATCCGTTCAGCCGTTTAGGCTACAAACTCTAACAAACATCCATCCATCCGTTTAAACGTTCGCATTTATAATATTAGTAAGATTAGTAAGTAATTAGTAAGTAAAGTAGTAATTAGTAAGATAAGATTACTGTCTACTAATAATAATTTTGATACGGTTAACTCACAACTAAACATTTTCAAAGAGTGCATTTGTAACCAATATACTAATGTTATAAAGAGGAAAGATTTGCATTTTTGTATGTTTTGAAATAACTCAAAAAACTACTGAGCCGATTTTAAAAAATTCTTCCACCTTTACAATTATAATTTATCTGTGAGTAACATAGGCTTTATTTTCATTATTTTTTAATTTCACGCGGGCGGAGTCGTGAGCAACAGCTTGTATATGATGTTTTCATACAAATCGGATGGCGACCCAGTCTTAAAAAATTAGCCAAGCTGGTCAGATATGTCTTACATACCTGCGATAATATAGAATGTGTAATACCTTAAAAACATCGTACCAATGCCAAGTATTTGCAAACTAAGAGTGCAGAAACATGCCGTGCATCTAAATACTCGATAAATTTTTTGTTCTCCTACCCATGTCTTGTGTAAATTGCAAACAATCTGTGCCAAATTTCATTTCTTTTACAATTAAACACCAACGTTGATTATCAAATGTTGTTTGTAATTTATAGGATTTTAATAGTCTAAGAAGTCATTTTAAGGTTATTTACATTCAGATGTACAATGTCGCCGCTCAAACAAAAAAACGTCTTATTTAAGCACGCTAACTTGCTGCACGTTAACTTGTCTATATTTTTTAGTAACCGAGTAGCACTTGAATAGGAATTCCTCAATTTTTTTAATCAAAATAATGTAACCCTCCATCTTCTATCATAAAGTGATTTAATGCTTTGCTTCAACGACGTGCGATATGAACTTATAAAGTTCTTTGTCGTATACACAATTCTTGTCCACCATCTACATTAGAAAGTTGCGTAGAAAGTGATTTCCAGATCCATAGTAGGTCAAACTTGGTAAATATTTTGATTCTCGTCTTATAGTTACATTTCTGTATGCGTTTATTTTTATTTTATATACTTTATGCGACTAATAATTTCTTGGGAAGTTACATGTTGCCCAGGTTCAAGGGCCTAGCAAGAATACTTTCGAGAAAGTATTCGAAATGTATCGACACAATTTGTTTTGTGTGAGTTTCGTGCAGCGCTCATATCGAGCCTAAAGTACACCAATAAATCTTATACAAATTTCATCGATGGTTTTGTTGTCACGATTTTTTTAACGTATATATAATATGATATGATATAATAATAATAACCATTGTTATTAAACGATTTTTAATTAAAATCGTCATTACAATTAACATACGCTATTAATGTCGAGGTTTGGGTCCACAATCATCTATGTTTTAAGTTTCGTTAACTAATTTAAAAGCATTTATTGAACATAATCGGTGGTAATATTTTACATACGGCAATTTGAATTTAACCAGTTGACGTCGTCTTCATTTTGATTATCAATAACATCTGTGGATGATTCATTTTTTTTCAATATAGAAAGGAGTTAGTTGTTTGTCATATATCTTTTTTTTTATAGAATTATAACAGCTAACGATTGGTTTGGCTGAGATCTAGACAAGGCGATGTACTACCTTGATCTACTAAATATTGAGCTTCGGTATCAAGAGGCAGCGACTTGATCTCGTACTCCTGTATTATTTAATTTAAATTTTGTGATATTTATATGCATTCAGATTAAACAGAATGATCTGTCTCATCATAAAGATTAGCGTTGCAAAGTACATTGGACGCATGATTATTTTCTTACCAGCTTGTTCTAAAAATGTCATGGATTCGGCAGTTTAGGCTACAAACTGTAACAAATAGTCATCGAAAATTTCGTATTTATAATATTAAGTAGGTATGATTATATGGAAAGAATCGTGTAGGTATTGTTAAAATTAATAAGATTTTTTTTTACTCTTTGCTTGAAATGAATAATAATAATAAAAATACTTTTAAATATAATATGCTCTACTTTAATCAATAAGAAATATAACCAATCAGTTTAATAAGAATTTAAAAGTTTGAACAATACTTTGTTGTGCAAGCGTAAGATGTTTTTGCTTATCAAAACAAAATGAACAAGTCAAAGCTTGGATACTGATAACTGTAATATTCATCATCGTTAAAATTGTCTGTAAAGTTACGAATATTGACTAATTTTCATAGTCATTTATAATTAATTAATTTATCTTATAGCTAGGCCAGAAATTCATCTACAATGATGTCCAAAAATTAAGTTATCCGGAATTACTCGTAGCGGTACAAGTTATAGGCACTTTTATTATTTTAAAACAATAAATAAAATATTTATAAACCTGTATTGGAGCGATTTTCTGTATTAAAAGTCAAGAAAGCCGTTAAGTATCGTAACAGTTAATAATCTTAACCACAGCCCAGTACTATTAATATTAAGCCCGTATTGGAAAGTAAAGTAATAATAGTTTTTATAATTACTAGGCTTTTTAAATTTCAAGCAACGAAAGTTTATCTTTAAAATTGCTGTCATGAGTTTTTTAATTAGGTATTCACACAATGTGATTGACACAAGTTTGAAAAAAATAACTGTATATTTATTAAGATCCCGCAAATATGATAGTAAAAAATGTCAAACTGTACTTACAAATGTTTGAATGCCGCGAAAGTAGGTTAGTTATTTTACGCGCGGAATTTTAAAAAGTCGTATTTCCCGCGCGAATGGAACGTTGTTCGCGGCGGTTGGTCACTTACTGCGTGTACGCTGCTCTACTCTGCGCTTTCTCTGCTAACGGTATCTACTGCTTTTCGCGTGCGTTCCTCTCACAGCAAACATAATAATTAAGAAACAACTATAACCTCAAACTAGTACAGATTAACTGTCAATAATACACAGAGTCAGTCTTTATGTCTTCTGTAATTTTCATTAACCTATAATAGTACACATATATAGACAGATGTAGGTGATCCCCAAAGCATTCCTTCTTGTGGTCCTTCTCATCGCATGCTCTTCTGCTCACCGCATGTGTTAACTTGAAGCCCTCCCTCTGAAGTTTTAGTGAGGTAAAACTTGATAAAAGTAAACTGACATCTACTATACAAGGTACACATCAGTCAAAGCAGCATGGTCCTGCTCAAAAAATAATAGATTTTATACAATAATTCAAGTTGTGAAAATAGCCAATGTTATTTGTATAGTTTGTTACTTTTATCACGGATACAGTGTTCGCAATTATATTCCCTTCTTTCAGATTATGTCCTTAACAAAAATAAACAAAATCAAGGCCTGTTTGACGTGAAAGCTGAGGTAATTTCCACTTATAGAACGAAGAAAGAGATTGTAGTATAAAAGGATTGTTGCTGTTGTAATTTTTTTTATTTTACCAGGATTCTCAAACACTAGAACGAAAACGTTTTTAAAGAATGGGAACTATAATAGAAAGTACAATCGGGGCAGCTGACGGTGTCCACCTTTAAAGTCACAATTGTTTGAAATTAATACAACGCAGCTTATATATGTGTGTGTATGAAAAAAAAAAACAGTGAGTAATACACGGCTGCTTTAGTTTTAGTATTAACCCTTCGTTTGCACCACTTACTGCTATCTAAGGTATTTGTAGGAAGAGGCGGAGTTTGTCTTGTTGCGATAAACAAGGCAATTTTTCCTGAAGTGGAATAGCGCGGTGTCCGCGATTGTTAGGTTTACTCTACGTACTATCGGGGAATCTCGTGATCCGTCATATAACTACAGACGTTTGAATGTTTTGTACGTATTGAGATGACGGTACAACCTTTAGACGCAGCCTTTTAAAGTGTCAGTACGAAATAATATTCGGTCATTGTTACATGGTTACCTGATTTTTAATATTATCCCGACGTTTGCACTACTTACTGTTAACTGCTACTTGATTGATTATTTGTAAGAAAAGGCGGAGTATGTTGCTTTGCGAGAAATTAGTAATATTCTTCTGTAATTGGTATATCGGGAAAGATCCTGATTATACATGAAATTCACAGTGACAAATGTTCAAAAACCAGTTTGACTATTACAAAAGCATTTATAGTAATTATGATGCAATCTTGTAATGGAACATTAATGGTCATCAATCAATTTTTTCAAGACTTCGTACAGTATAAGTGCATCAAGTAACAATTGTGTCGTCACATAAAGTGAAAGGGTGACGATACTGCGATGGACTGAACACGTGCAACAATATTTTACTTAAAGCTGATGACACAATATCAGTCTAGTCTTATTAGAATGTTTAGCATGATATTTATACAGCTTTTATTTTGATGATTGTATGAAAACTATTCCAATCCCCGTTACTCTCTTTCATTTTTTAATGATTTTTAAAAACCTTCATGAGTAAGACTCCTGAGATTATCGGCTTAACTCGTGTGATCGTCAGGTGACGGCACCGAAGCTTGTGCACAGAACAGAGCTGTGAACAAATCAATCAATATATGGACGTCACGGCCATGTTATGCTTTAATAAAATATAGTCTTCTTTACCTCTTATGTTCTCTTCCAATTTGCACAGAATAACCTTACCAATATGGCCGTCGTGTCGTCGAGCTAATACGACACCCTTATTTTTGACATCCGACTACTATCCGATTATTAACGTAACAAGCAGAGTTACGACATTTTAAAACCACGACATAAATATTTAAATAATATTTTGGATCACAATTACAAAGCTTATATCGTTATTTTAAATTATGGCAAATGGTATTGATTTATAGCACAGACTAAATAACCTTCAAGAATACAGAATACATCAAAATAGTTAAAAAGCTAACAATTACTGCACAGAAGCATCTTGATCTTCATCCATCTGTTTTAGTCTGTCCACTTGACGTGCCTTCCCCAATCTCTACTATAGTATGGTCCACAGTTTTGCGCATCCAACAAAATAGCCATTTATTTTATTCTTGGCCAAATGCTGACCATATTTACGTCGATATCCGACATATAAATCTATTATTCAAGTACCTATCGTGTAAAACAAACGTGACAAGTTTTAATTGTAGTGAAGCTTGTATGGGCAAGATCCATGATTGATATGCCATAGGAAGTAATTTACTATTGACTTCGTTTGGAATAAAGGGGAATAGAACTCTTTGTGAATACAAAAATAGTGGAATGACTGTGCAAGGATAACGGCTACACTGAAGGAAAATGAGGAGCCTTGATATGGTTAACAACCATCCCAAACCATAAACAATCGAGTTACCTTATTTAAGCCATAAATAATTAAATCTAAAGTGAAACATTTTTTTGGAGATATTTTAACGACAAAAATGACTAATCTTCCTTCGATAACATCCAATGAAAATAAGAAAATGAATTCTGTCATGAAAAATGTTTTTAAATCAGTCCACTATTTTTCTTAGTTAGTAGTTATTTGATATTATAATGTCTTGTGCAACGTTAATGCTAACAGACTACAATATAATGGTTATTTGTGACCAGACTGGCACATGCCATTCTCATCGTGTTTTGTATGCAGTCAACGTAAAATCGTCATTAGTTGAGGTCGGTCGTAATAGACCATAGTCATGGCTTTGTTTGAATACCCTCAAAGTGTTGAACGTGACACAAAATTCTATTATGGATATTATATTGGTAACGTTGACACACTTTGGGGTTTTGAAAATGTTTTGCTTTTCAACAAATATTTTGTTTATTTTATCATTTCATAATAATATAGTACAATCCAATGCTTACCGCAGCGAAAAAAAAAATTCCTTCTTAATTAACCTTATTTGATTTCTAAAAGTAATTCTTATGTTTATGTTAACAAAATCTATTTTATACTTGTTCTTTATTTAAAGGTATTTTTACTTTTCTGCGCCTGTAGAAATTGAACTGCATTAAAAGCTTCTTCATGATTTGCTAATAAATCTATACCAGTGAGCAGTACAATTTTGCGTTAAGTGCTCTTTTTTTATTGAAATTTTAACAGAAAACACAAATTAAATAGATGCACAAATATGACCCCGCAAAAACCATATAATTGGATTTTAGATTTTGATTTGCTATTGAATTTAGATTTGCTATTTCAGGTGGTAAGTATTGATCATGTATGGTAAACGTTTTCCAATTGTTCCGTCACCGTAATAGTTATTAATTCTGTGTACTATGTATTTGCCACGAGAGACTGCCCTAACTTATTTTTGGATTATCAAATCATGTGTTTCTGTGCATAATATCAAAGTATAGTCAAATGCAAGGCTCTTATCAAATAAAAAAAATAACTATATGAAAAAATTAATAATGCATGTGCGTTCGGCATGAAGAAATCAGATGTTATTATTAAATGTAATTTAAAATAGCTATAAATTTTTTTAACTTTATAATTTAAGTACCAATTTAATATTGTGTGAATTGCCTTTGTAGCCTTTTTATTAACTTTATGGTTAATAACAAAGCTAAAGACTTTTTAAGGCAATTATCATGAATATGTTATTGTCGACTATCTTTTTTTGTCAAATTAAGTAAAGTTGTGAATTAAGTAATAAATTATTCTGACATATCCAGGATTTTACGATTCTTCTAAAAAAAAATAAAAAATGACTACAAGTACAAAGTTAAATATTATGAAATATCTTCAAACCATGCAGAAATTACCTTTTAATGTCATTTTGATACTAGGGTTCCGTTGAAGATTTAGGTTAGGTAAAATTAGGTATATCGTAATTTTGCCACAAAACACTGCTCTACCCTAAAATACAACGTCATTCGTAGCTCAAATATGCACAATGTAAACTTAGAGAGGCGAGAGTATGCTAGATAGTATTAATGTCTTAGCCCCAGTGTCTTTTTGCTCCAATATCCTCCAGTGTCTTAGATTGTAAGGTTTAGAGCCCTATTTCATAGATATCTATCTTTGTTTATTGTTCCGTGAATCGGCTCAAATGATCCGAAGGTCAGTAGTACCATAGCTATAGCCTAAGATAGATCACTGTCTTAGGTTAAATAAGTATTACGTCATTACACTCTAAAAGTGTTTAATTTTTTTTTTTACATTATTGCTTTGAGGTTGATTTATAACATTTTGCACATGCAAATATGCTTTAACACTTGTGTAATTAATTACCAACATGTTAAGGCAATAAATGAAATATTTTGATTATAAATAACATTTCCGTCTTAATTCTGATTATATATAATATTTTGTATAACTTAGTTTTTTTCCGCGTTCGCACCTGTTACGGTTGCTAATTAAAATTACCTGGATAGTTTGAACTTTGCCCTTCTTTTGTTTTAGGAATTCGTTTTTGATAATTGCATTCGAACAAACTTTTTGATTTTTATATAATTACAGATTATATATGTATTTAGTTGCTTTACATCTTAGTTAATAATGGTATATAAAAATTAACAAAAGGATGTTGCCACAATATACGTACACTTATATAAATATTAGTATATAAGGATAATGAGGTTTGTTTAAAAATTTAGCTGTGCAAATAATTGTTTGGTTTCATAAAAATAAGGTAAAAAGTGAGTCATCAAAGTAATTTTATTTTATACATATCATTATGTTTTCTTATCGCCTGAGAACTTTTTTGTTATTTTATAAATAGAATTAATTACTTAAAAATATAATTTTTCCATCCTTTTTATGTTGAATTCATTTTGCCAACAGTTAACTGGTACCAGTTTATAAGAACGTTTGTGTTTCAGTTTGATAATACTGTACTCGTATACTGAAGTCGGCATCAACTAGGTGAAGTTTGGATCCACTTTCTGACGTGACAACAAATCCAGGCAGTAATGTATACTTCTATATCTATACTAATATTATACAGAGGAATGATTTGTATTCTTGTATGTATTGGAATAACTCAAAAAATACTGGGCTGATTTAAAAAATTCTTTCACCGTTAGAAACCTTTCTTTTCAGATACATAACCTTATGTATCTGTGTGTTTTTGTAACATGGGCATTTTTTTACGGGGCGAAGTCTCAAGCAACAGCTCGTTACTAATAAAAATACCTCCAATGATTATTGTAATATAAAAACTAAATTCGCGAGTTTAACATGTTGAACTTTGTAACTCTACTTGCTTTATACGGTAATAATTCCTAAAATCTTTATTTTTGACAATGTTTTTGTTTGCGAATTGACAATGAGGAAAATATGAGAATTTAACACGTCAAAATGTCGAAAAACACAATTTGACTAATGTTTTCAACAATATTCCTTGCTTAATTTTTTTGTCATCACCGCAACGACATTTGCCCCTGTATTGTGAAATTAATTTTAATCTTTGGTGACAGCACTTTGGGTTTTAGCTGATGAACAACAACTTTGTATCTTATTACATGTATTTAATATTATTTATTACCTACATTATAGAGATCTATGCGTACATTTTATTCTACAATAGTTATTGTTTCAAATATACCTATTTCCTTAATAAAGATAGGGTTACAATGTTCATACCTTTTTTTTTCATTTACAACCTCATCATTCTGTACATTCAAAATATCCATTCGCCAGGTATCCATCACAGACGGATCTGTCAAGTTTCAAATGTTACACTGAAAAAGTGTTGAATTTTCTGAAGTGATGAATTTAAAGTTTATGTTTGGGTTTCTGTCTAAGTATTAAGAAGTTGTTTAAACTTTGCAAAATTGATTTTGAACCGATATACAGAGGTTATAAGGTAAAAAAGCGGGCGATAATATAGCGTGAAGGTCAAAGAGGGTGTAGGGTCTCGAACGGATTGCGCGCGCAGCCGACCCGCTAACCACCACAGCGCCATCAGCGCAACCTCTCCGCTCAGTCGATTCGCAGCGCCGAGTGCGTCAGCTGGCTGCACGTTTGACGGCTGTGCCGGCGCGCGATTAAAAAAAAACATTACAAAATCTGTCAACACGTTCGTTCAACTTGAAGCCAAATATTTCAAGAAGATAACGAATACGATCTAGTGTTGTGCTTGTGAAACTAAAAACAACCACCGAATAACTTGATGTGTTAATTATTAACAATTTTGGTAAGTTTCAATATCCAATAGGGCTGATAACGTAATGTTGATACAAGTTAAGCAAACGGTTTCGTAGTAGGCATATAAGATTTTCGAAAGTATTTCAAGGCGATCTTGCTTCTCGGCCTCATGACTTTGAATTAGATTTTAATCGATCCGATGTAGATGATTATGATTTTTCCGAGATAATTGGGCGCATATTAATTACTACTCCGTCATTACGAACGTTACTTAGTTAAGTTATAGTTAAGTTAGTAAGAATACCGTAACTTGATTTTATATTTTATTTGACATTGAATCAATATTTAACAGTAAACCTGAAGGACAGATGTAGATACTAAGAGCAAATAGAATAATTCTCAATTAATTATAATAACTTCTTAGTAATATAATGACGACAAGAAGGAAAATTATACAGTTAATAATTGAATCTTTTTATAAACAATAAACCTATATAACTTACTTCGTACCCTAAGTATTTTATACTGCGAAGGTACAATTTTGAATTTACGTGCGTGTAAACTTGAGGTTAATTATGATGTCAAGGTGAATGTCTTGAAAAATTACACTCCGACCGTAATAATGTGTACAATAATTTTACTTCAAAAAATGAAATAAAAAGCCCGAAATGTTTATGACTACGTAAATATGCAACTATATAAATATAATATTATTATATATCAGTAAATAATAATTTCTTTTAATCATTCTCCTTGTATTTAGGTCAATCTTAAGGCTAAAGTACGTAATGCAATAAAGAATTTAATACTCTCGACCCAATTGATTGATTTCTCTTTTGTTATTGATATCCAACAGCTTGAAATAATCAATCTGTACTATCTATATTATCAATATTGTATAGAGGAAAGATTTGGATTTTGCTATTTTTGTATATATTGATATTACTCAAAAACTACCGGACCGATTTCAAAAATTCTTGCACCGTTAAAAAGCTATGTTATCACTACGTAACATAGGCATATATTTTTTAATTTCACGCAGGCGAAATCGCGAGCAACAGCTATTGTTTATAAACTTGGCAATTTAGATATAAAAATGTATCTCAAGATTTATAGAGAGATATAGTATGTATAGTAATCATTATGAGTGCACAGAATGTAGACTTGATTTACAATAATTGGCTATAAACTAAAATGGTTGTCGGGATACATAAAATCGATTGAGACTGAGAAATCGAGTAATCGATATTATAAAGTAAATGTGGCAGGTTTTAACATAGTTTTCTCACTTGAAGAAAATCTCTAAGTACTTCTGTGGCGATAGCCGATTTTACTAATACATGGGGAAATAAAAAAATACGAAGTATATGCTTTTGAAACTCAGAAATTAATAAAGTAAAAATCATTATTAAGTTATTTTGGAATAACTGATCCCATAGAACTGTTTTTAATGTTGATAAATAGTTGGTTCCGTTCATGTCGAGTAGGCAAGGCGTAGCGTGCGCGGTTGGGAAACGAACAGAGAAGGCCGTCCGGTCTACGTCGACGGGCCTATCGACATCGTTGCGTTCCTATTTCATTTAATTCTTACTTAAGGACAAACATATTTAAATTATATAACACGACTTGTGAAAATGATGAAAACTACCCGAAAAGGAAACGAGAAATATCCAAACAATTTCGATGAAAAGTCCGATTTTAGTTGACGAACATAGTCTTTGCAACAGAAGTTATCTTAATTTTAATTCATCACAGAATATTGTCATATAAATTTTGTTGAATATTTTATTAAAATTGTTATATCATCAAAGTTGAAGGTGAATTTGAATGGACTTGATCAAGATTAACCAGTCTACACAAGTTTGGTAAATTTTGATTCCAATAGTAGCTAAAATGTTAAGCTCATGAAATACGTATATGAAAAATATTTTTTAAGTTTAACAGTGGTAAAGCCCGCTTTAACATCTTCGCACGAATGGGTTGGCTCTCTCAGTATAATACCACGACCACCCAGAAGTCGGGCGTAAAGTGGGAGCAATTCCGCATTTCGTCTGATGAGTGCGGCGCCGGAGGCCTAACTTTAGTCCCTTTTCCCTTCCCACCATTTTTCTAATAAGAGGATGGGAATGGAACGTAGATTTGACGGTGAAGGAGACGCTTAGGAAGGTGTAATATCCTCTTTATATGCGTCTCCTCCTCCGTCGATTAAGGGTTGGCAACGCATTCGCTATTGCAGATGTCTATGGGCAGTGGTCGCTCGGCAGTTTCGCGGACTCGGGTAGCCTTGCTTATTTAGCACCTCATATTATAAAAATTATATATAAAATGTATATTTAATTTATTTTCTTTTAAAACTTTGATGCAAGGTTAAATTAGTAAAAAACTCCAAGCTATAATAAAATTCCCAACTCGTTTGAATTCGTTTGATGTTGTTATCAGATGCTGAAAAAGAATAAAATTAATACTAACGTATTAATATAAGGAAATTAAAAACCAGACGTAGCATCAAAGCGTCATTTAATAACATAATTTAATAATTCATTTTTACTTATCATTTATGTTTGAATTTCGGTATAATACCATCAGGCTGTTACTTGCGGTCTTCTTTAGGACTTTAATAATCACAAAATAATACCTACGCTTTCTATCCCTGTAGATATTGGAAACCCTAAATGCCCCTGAAGTCTACAGACTTTATCGACCGATAGTTTAGTCGGGTTCTCGATCAGTATGACTAAGGAAATGCACACATTACATTTAAAAACTCGACTCTATCAAAGACCTAAAGTCTGCGAGAGCTATAATTTCGAACAATTCAATAAACACTTTATTGTGTTGAAAAAATGTAAATATATTGGAAAATATTGCAAATACAAATCGTTATAAGTACTCTACATGCAGTTGTAAAAATAAATTAATAGTAATATTGTCCAATTGAACATTAAAGAGATTGTTATTTCAAGCATCGCTTTCGTAATACGACCTCCGTTGACTAAAGTCGGTTAGTTTGTTGAAATTTTTGTTTTTCAGTTATTTTTCGAGTTTAAATATGTTTCGACAATCAATTTGACACTTTGTTGTGGTACAATTTCGTAATTGTTTCAACATTACCGCAACTTGTGCAAATTTTAATCAACAATAATAGTGAACATAAAGGATTTCCCTTAATATTTATATGTATATTATTGGAAACAAAAGCTCTCTATCATTGTTATAATAACATAAAAGTTTTTGCATATTTACTAATGTTTTATTTTTAGCATAGAAACCATATAAAGTAGGATCAGTTTCTTACCACAAACAGGATAGAGATGTGACTTACTAAACAATTGACACGTTATTAATTAACTATTTTAGAACACATTTATAAAAATAAATGAGCTCATACAAAATTAGTTTACTCGGAGGTCGAAGATCTTTCACATTCATGACCTTGACACAAGTAATAAAACCAAATAATTCTTTAATTACCCTAGAATTAAAATACTTTATGGTTTTCTAAATCTGTTTTTGTCGGGCATATTCTTATATGGTTACGTTAAATGCGACACTTTAATCCGATGTTCACTACAATTTATATGCATAATAACAACACTTAACGTTAGAAAAGTGTAATTATTAATAATACATGTTATCTCACACTGCATGTTTATGTCTTATTTTCATGTCGATAATGTTTCGAAACGTTCTGTCCTTTTTTTGCGTGCACTTTCTCCCGTGCTTTCTCCGCGTTCGATGAAGTTTTGGTTGTTATGCTGCCGTGAGTGGTCATTAACGTTACTGCTTGGCGATGATTAGAGTGGAATTTTCTATTTTTACGAGTCCAGGTTTACCATGTGATTAAGTTTATTGAGACAGTTATTGACATGATATTTAAATGGGAGGATAAATGGAAGTTTAGCGTTACCTTAACGTTATTAGTTCGTATTACACTCAAGAGCATTATATCCGGGTCACAAAACCTAAAAATCTTGATTTAAGGGTGTAATATTTTCTATCAAACACAGTTTATTTAATTAAGCCAGCATTCACAATTCATAGCTAGATTTATAGTTTTTTTTCAAGTGACCCGGATTCAATGCTCTTGATTGTATTAATTTTAATTTTGCATATTTTCAATGATATAAAAGCAGTACTGAATTTGCATCTGTCATTGTTGAAGAAAAACTGTATCAAAGCAATTTTGTAAAAAAAAATGAGACTTTATGTATTACAAAGGTCAGGACGTTAAAATTTCGAACGATGTTAAAAGGAGGTTGAAAAGAAAGTTCCTTATAACCTTGACTTTAAAACTTTCTAGTCTAAGTAAAATCTTGTCATCGTAAAATTGCCTCAGGTATTTACTACCGATCGAGGCATGCAGATATAAGAGTTTTCAATCCCACGTCAATCAACGTTATTAAGATTTAACGTATTTGGGTAAATAAAAGGAATAAAAATATCAATTGTATATTTAACAAATTATCATATTTTTATATTCTCGTCAAAATGTAGTATAATTTATGTTTTTTTTAAAGATTCTGAGCCTTTGTTCCTGGCCTAATATATTTTTACTCAGGTTTTTTCTTGACTTTGTCTGGGTAATTGATGTTGCATTGTTGTTTACAAAAAAAACTATTAATTTTAATTGTATGCTTTATAAATGGCTATAAGTAGATTGTCAATCTTTGAACTGATCCAAATATAAGTAAAATATAGTTTGAAGAGGAGCGGTCGCCCGCAAACTTCGTTAGCGCAAATTTATACCACCCGTCTTTGACAGCACGGAATTTATAAAAAAAAGTAGCCTATAATATGCCAATCCTTGTCAGCTACCCTGCAGTTAAAGTCCCGTCGAAATCGGCCCAGCCGTTTCGGAGATTACCCGGAACAAACGCGGCTTGCGGATATACAGACAAAAAAAAAATATATGAGATTTTCGTTATCAGCAACGTCATCATCATCTTCCCGAAATCTGGATTTTTCCTGAAGATATTACAAACAGGCACTCCAATTTTATTATACCTATGTATAGATATAGATATACATATAGTATAGATGAGTTATGTC